CCTTCCATCAGTCGGTGACACTCGTTCGTTTCGATCGGGCAAAGGGAATTTCCAACCAATATAAAAAAGGTAAGTAAGCAATCCATCCGTCTGCTGCCAATGTTGACCCGGCAACTGCCTGGCTTTTGTAAATGTGAAAATGTCTTGTCATCTTCTTTTGATTGGAAACCCAAACTATGTAAAGTTGGCAACTTCAAGATGTTGATATTCCCAACCGACCGACTGTTGGATCGAGGTCCCGGATCGATGTCCGGATCGAGCGAACAGCGAACAGAGAAAAAGAGGATATATCCCCCGTTCTACGTCCCATTCATCATTCTTGTCAATGTATAATACCCGTTTGACATAGGGTTGTATATGTTAATGTAGCAGCTGTGCCTGTTACATACTTACATACACACTCGTACAGCACAGGACAGGGCCTGCTTATGTTGGATTTGATTTTCTGCGCAGGTTCACCGTTGACCTGGCAGGTTTAGCGTTTTATGTAGTATGTAATGTAGGATACTACCTACCTAATCCTAATGTCAGGTCCGTCGGTCGGTGTTTTTCTGGGGTTGGGGACAGACCGACTGTTATCGTTGTCAGCAACAGATATGGGTATGATAAGGAGGGTTGGTCAAAATCTCCAAAAACCCACCTTCCAGTTTTCCATGTTTGTTCTTCTCGAGGGTATGAGCATGGCAGGTTATTTCGAGAAAAAGGGACCCTCAGAAATCGGGGCGCCAAACCCCTCCAATCTCGATTTGACATCCGAACTTAACTGCCCTGATTGTGGGACTTGTTTTTTTTCTCTTCCCCTCAGGATCCCTTTTTTTGTTTTCGGGTTGTTGATGGTGATGTCAGACGAACGTTTGTTGTGGTTGTTCGATGAGAACTTTTCGATCAGACCGGACCAGGGGTGGTAAAAACAGGCTTCGGAACAGGTTCATGGCAGAGTCGTGCGGGGAATGGAGATTCGGATTCGATGGATGGAACCAGGACCAGGGCAGACCTGCAGCACCCATCTTCACCTTGCTTGTTATGGCGCGTGGAACGTGCGGAACTTACCGATCAAGATGGTTGATTCTTGAACGGTTTTTACCAGAAGGCGCCCAGAAAACCCAGAAAATTCCAGGTTTGGAGGGAAAGTTGGACCGTTTGGAATGGATTGTCGTCGAGATATCCCATTTTCGGCCGTAAGCCGATGGGGACTCTGGCGATGCAGTCAACGGCGGACCACGGGGACTCTTCTGATCATTGATCCAAGTGATCCCGCATGGAAGCGGGAAAAGGATGCGCAGAAAGATGCGCGCGACCGGGAGTTTTGAGGTTGTTTTCGTAACTTGGCTCGCATCACCGGGGAGCGGCTATGTGTTTTTGTTTACAACGTCCGGGATGTGCGTATGTATCACGACTGTAAATTACATACCGGTAAGTTTGTCGGATCTCCATGTCTTGCCCCGGAGAGTTAAACTCTGGCGGTCACGGAAGAAGCTGGAGATAAAGGTGAAAGCTTAGGGTGGAATATCATGAACTGACCGCCAATTCGACAACATCATGTTGTCGGCCTCGTGGTCTCACAGTTCGTGCCATCAGTCTCACCTTAGGTTCATACACGTAGAGCCAATTGTCCAATGGTGTTTGTGCCCTTTTTCTACCCTCTTTTGCCCGTGGTTTCGTCTTCCCGCTAGTGCTGCCGGCGATGTCTCCGTCGATGGCAGGACGAAGCGGAAGGTTCGAGCAGATGCCTCGCGCCGGGAAGTTCCTGTCTGGGACGATGCGCTCCGCACTTCCGCAGGCCAGGCCCGCAGTCCCCCGCGTGTACCGTACACGGGCTCAGACGATAGGTTGAAGATTCTGAGGAGAGCCTGGAGAGTTTCCCAGGAACAGCCGGGCACGTTGCGGAGAATCTCTTCCACCACTGCACGCGATCGGAGCCGGAAAGTCGACCATCGACCCAACCTCCGGTATTTTGTTTACTCTTAGAGATCGGTCTGGATATGACGCTATGTATGTTCAGATGTTGCTGATGTCGGGTCAATCGCTGGAGATGGTCGCTCGGACTGCCTATCTGAAACATGAGGTGCATAATCTGGAGATAGTCTTTGCTACACATACTGTTTCTGTTTCTGATGTTTTGTGCAAGTTATGCAGGGCCTGGAGTGGATGTCCCAGTGTGGGATGAAGAGGGATGACGTCCTCTCCTTGTTCGCACTCGGGTTCTGTTTGTGGTGTGTGCGTGTGTGAAGAAAAGAGAGCCAGAGCCTCTTGGGACTTTTCGTGGGAATTGGCAGCGATCTTCGGCCAACTGTGGGGCCGGACAAGGGGGAGCCTAAAATGTTAGCGCGGGTGGAGCCTCCAATTCGTTGGCGGGCGCTGTGGACTGTTGTGGACGCTGTCGACGCTCTAGCGAGACGAACGAGAAAATCAAAAGATCGAGACCGCAATCCATTTCAAAAGTGAAAAGAAAACACTGCTGTCGCGCAGTCGCGGTGAAGGTGCAGACGAGGTGAGTTCAAGACACAGTCAGGGTGCAGACATGGTGCAGACATGATGCAGAAAACCCTCGCCAAGCTGAATCACGGCGTGATGGACATGGAGTAATAAATAACGTCCAATTTCAGAGAAATTACCCATCTCCGTCAACCCACGCTGCGCGCTTCTTGGTCCAACCTTGGAGGTGATGGACAAACCGCTGGGGAAAGAGCGAAAGATGGTGTATTGATTGCCGGTGCTGTGTAATCGATTGTACTGTTGCAGCGACAGTCCCAAACACGGTTCGATCTCCTCGTCGTTACTCCACAAGGCGGAGAATTATGAGAGTGCAAAGGGGGGATCTGCTCTGATTTGCCTTTGTCACTCTACCTCGTGGTCTGCCTAGGTGCCAGGGGCAACTGAGGCCGCTGTGAGTGAAAGCCTGAAGCAGATGCTGTCGCCACTCGTGCCATGCGCCGAATCATTCCAGTCCAGTGCGTCTGTTTCATCTTCAGTTGTCGCTCACCACCAGAAAGTTCATGGTGAGATCATGTGGATGGCATCTTGGATGGTGGTCGTGCTGGCCCAGGCCTTGGGAGGAAACCAGCACTTCTCATTGAACGGGAAGCGCCATGACCTTTCGCATTGGCTGTCCGCAGTGCGCCCAAGTCTGGTTCTGTGATCGAGGTATTATCGCATTGCTCTGCAAAAGCAGGCTTTCCGTCCTGCCATTTTTTCCTTCTTTTTCGGGTGTTGCAAATTGTCAGTGTGTGCCGTGGAAGGAGCCTCCTGCCGTGCCACCCCAAAGGGAGCAACAGCCGGCTTTTTATCAAGTGAAAGGACGGAACATTGCAAGTATCGCGAACGAAACAAGCTGCCGCAAAACATCAGGGCTTACACAGTAGGTGTCTGGGTTCATCCTAACCCAACACACGCTCCACGCCGTCACTGTTGTTGTTCCCGTTACTGTTTCGTACTCTTTCCTTTGTTGCCCAAATCGGTCGTGGCGGTGAAATGGCCAACAAGATGGTTGACTGCCGATGGACCGCAAGAAATGGAAGGATGTGACGAGCATCAAGGCCTCTTTATGAGAAAAATCTTTTGTCGCGCCTGATTTCTTTGCAGATTTGGATGCTCAAACAAAATGGGGTACATCGACAGGCACAGGTACAAGGGCAGGTACCTTTCGGTGGGATATCAGACGAGTCCACCGATTCAGGCTCGAGTGCTCCGGGCTCTCATCAGCAAGCCCGAACGGAAAGTATATTGACCGCGTGGTTTGTATGGAAAGGTACATGGATAAGCCAACATTGAAATGAATGACGCCTGGGGCTGCTCTTGGCAATTCCCGCTTCACGCAGTGACGCACTTTCTCCGGTTTGGCATGCGCCAAGATCCACAACTTGAAAGATGCGCCCACCAAAAAAGTCAAAGTGCTCACTGAATGGCAGCCCATCAAAAGATCCGAGATCCACCAGAATGGCCATTTGCAATTTTCAGATTTCGACCGGTACGGCAAGAGTAGATTTCGGGATACCTTTAAGGAATGTTCATTTATCTTGCCGACCCGAGGTCAGAGAAGTCTCGGACCACAGTAGCTGGTCAGCGAAGCGTAGAGGTACGTTTGGTTCTTGTTGAACTTGGTTGAACTCCCAAGGTTGGATGCAGCACAGTCTGGCTCTTGGACTGCCGTGAGCCGAATGCCGTGCGGCTCTCCAAGTGTTTGTGGGCGTCACTGAGAGGCAAAAAGAAGGTGATCTGATAGAAGCCAAGACTGCTGAAAAGTCGTTTTCGGCTTTCCATTTGTCTTTGTGGTTTCCCTGTCTGTCATCTGCCCTGTTCCAACCTCCCGTTTGGGGTCTTCCCCTCCCCCACCACCGTCAGAGGGTTGCCCGCTGTGGTGTTTTGCTTTGGCGTCAGGCGTCTCAGACCCGGCGGCGCAGGGCAATGCAAGGAGGAAAAAGGGAAAGTTACGTTACCGTACGGCCAATACGAGAATGTCCTGTCAGCACCAGCATGTCAACTTGTCAAAGCGACTCGGCAACGGACTACATACCTCTAGTGAGCAGCCGGCAGGGACCAGGGCAACTGTAAGCCCAGCACACGCCATTGCCAACCAAGCTGACGATGGAGCCCTTTCCCCTTCAATCCTCCCCCGGGCCTTCCCAGGTTCTCCCAGACCCAAACCCCGGCCGGCCCTGGGACCTGGCCGTAGGTACCTTCCGTTCCTTCTCTCCTGGCTGCCCTGTCCATGCTGCCTTCCTGATAAGACCCGAGCACATCTCTCCTTAGCTCCGGCCCACCTTTCCTCCCTCTCGTTTCGTTTTCCCGCTTTAATTATTTCCATGTCCAGTTCAGTTCCTCTTTCCCTCTCCTCTCCTCCTAATAATACGAGTGTAGAGGCCGAGGTCCATCTACATGAAGCCGCCATAAGGGTCGTTCCCCATACCTAGACCCCGGGTCACCACCATCATCACCGCATCACGGATATCACGATTCACGGATCACGGCATGGCAGTTTCAGTACAGGCATAGCATTATCCTGCCGTCCTTGTTCGATCCTGTCTGCGCTGTCTCTGCGCTAGGGAGCTTTCACTCCTCCTTCAGCAACATTAGCACCAACCAACCTATCATGGGGAATACACAATCATCAGTCGAAACCCCTGCTCCGAGGTCGTCTCCGAAGTCGTCCCCCAAATCGTCTCCCCAGAGGCTGTCCAAGCCCAAAACCGCCAATCCTACCAACGAAGGCCTACTTCTCTTGAACCCCGGAGGAGTTTCTACCAGTCTAAAACGTCAGAGCGCCGTCTTACCCGAAAATGCAGCTCTCGAACCCACCCCGGCGCCAATAATGCGCCCATCCGCCGATGTGTCCGAGGGTATCCCGGAAGAAGTAGAGGCGGCATTGGAAGAGAGGAAGGGTTCACTCAAGTTGATGCAAGAAAAGGCAACCAAGAGAATGAGTCTGTTTCGGTCCAAGTCTTCGCAGGGGAATCCACATAAGGAAAGGGGGGCCAGTACTGCTCGGCCAACGTCACGGAATTGCACCACAGCCACCATTTCCAGGTCCAATTCCATAACTTTTGAGTCCGCCGCCGCTGGTTATCTGCAGCCACGCCAGGACAGGTAAGTTTCGTTCATCAAAGAGCTGCTTAAAGGTTGCTAACAGACATGTTCCGTAGCTGGGCTGGTCCGCCCCAAACCCGCACAAATTGGAACTACGATACGGCTACTTATGCCTCTCAGCGACTGATTAACCTTGCTGAGGAGCCGGCTTTCGAACACACAACTGCCGTATCCGAGTGCGCAACGACCATGACAGCGCATTCATGGAACGGCGGTGATCATTTTGAGTACAACGGAGCTCCTATTAGAAAGCATTCATGGAACGGCGGGGATCACTTTGAGTACAACGGAGCTCCTATTAGCCGCGCAAACTCCGATCTTTCTCTCTATGTGCCAGTCCGCAGACGATCGATACTTCAGACGCCCGGTGTGGCAACGCGCAGAACTTCTACTAGAGATGGCCTGACCCACTCGCAGTCAGTCCGATATAGCCACCCACAAACGCCGCAGATCTCGCGCCAGCAGTCCATCGAGTCTTTTAGGGAGGGCATTCTGTCCATGCCGCCGCTTGGACTAGATCCCCTGGCTTTACAACGGGTTGTGACACCATGCGAGGACGAATATCAGTCAATTGGAGCTTTCAAGCTGGGAACGTTGCGTATTACCAACGGTTCTGCGAGCCCAATGAGCCCCGAGCTCGAGAGGAAGGGACAAAGGGTGGACTATTTTTCGAGGGTTCAGAGCAGCCTTGATTCACGTGCGGAGGCGTCACAATTCCTCCAGGTCAAAACGCCAGAGCCGCGCGTGGTGAAACCAGCCAACAACGTCTCGGCTGCCCTGTCCCAGGATTCGACTCAGCCTGAGTATTCTTCAAACGAAGTCCTGGACGTCCGTCTGGACCCGAATGCAAAGTCGCAGCCTAGCACATCTCCCAACGGTGATGCAGCTGCGACTGTCGCTAGAACAGATAGCGGATTCATGAGCATCTTTGACGGACCTCTTAACATCAAGCCTTTGGCCAAGGCCGATTCTGGATACAGTTCCAATGTGTCTTTGCGCTCGCTTCACACCAAGTCTCAGACCTTCGAACGGGAGAAGAACAAGTCAAACGAGAAACAGACCAGTCCAGTCAGGGCTCAAGATTTCGGCCTCGACATTCCACTCACTGTTTCTCCTTTAATGACGCCCGAATCAGAGGCGCCTCCACCAGTTCCTGCTAAAGATACTCCCCCGGTCTCTCCTCTCGAGGGAGGCCAGATGTTTGAGAGTCTCCGGAAGAGTCTTTCTCTCCGCGGTCAGCAAGCTAAAGCCGGCCTCCTTACTCCCAAGTCCTCGAAGAAAAGCGAAAAGCGTCCTTCACTGACTGGCAGTAGCCCGAAGTCTCCCGAACTCAACAGCCTTACTCCAGCCAGCACCAAGTCCAGCAAGTCAGATCGTCCGAACTCGGCTCTCAGCATCAGCAGCACGTCACAGAAGCCGAGCAGGCTGCAGAGGTTTTTGAGCGGAGCTCGCCGTCCTAGCGGTTCTCTGACTACACACAGCCGCCATGCACTTGAAGAGGAGGGCGTTCCATCCATCCCGAAGGACGTCGAGCACAAGTTCCGCGAGCACGGCAGGCGCTTTCCCATGACCACTAAGAGGCTGGCTCTCAAGCCCCGTTCCAGCATGGATACTCTCAAGACCATCTTTAGTGTGGGCAGTGTTGAAGCAAGCCTCGAAGCAGTCACCGCCAAGCAGACGGTCACCACCGTTCCTGAGGCGGAAACTGGTGAAGTTGCTACGACCAAGGGTGTGTCCTGGAGAAAGTCGATTAGGAAGTCGATGGCCAAGAAGCCCGTACCCATCAGCAAAGATGATGTGAAGGAGGGCCGCAAAGAGGAGCAACCAGGCGTCTATGATTCGATTCTTCCACCCAAGACTGGAAAGGTCTACGGTACCGTCAAGAGCAGCTTTGGGTCTGAAGCACTCAAGGAGGCGGAAATGACCGACTCCAGACTACCATGCGAGAGGGCGATGAGTCTCACTGTCTCGCTTGAGCGAACTCTCAATATGCAGATGGTTGGAGCGCACTCGAACTTGGCTAGCTTGCCTACAGAACTGCCTCCTGCGTCACTCCCGAGCCCAGTGATTCCCCGGACCATGTCCATGACATTCGACCACAAGACGACGCATAATCAACCACCCGTTAGCATGCAGACGAGACGGACGTCGCTTCGGGTGCCCCAACCTCATCTTCGGCCACAATCGTCAACTTCCAGCTTGAGACATGAGGTCAGCCGTGAGGATATTCACAGCTATCCGTCTGCGCAGTCTAGTCGCAGGCCGAGCAGAGAAAGCATCCACAGCTACCCGGTGCACGAACAGGCAGCTCAGAACTACAGTGCTCACCAGGAATTGGGGACTATCGGCCAGGACTACTTAGGTACTTCGGCTGCTCCTCCCCAGATGGACCCTCGACGACTCGCCGCGTTCCGGCAGCGCCAGAATACCTTGCCTCCTACCTACAGAGTTCCCGACTGGAACCCGCCAACCAGGAGCGAAATCAGCCGTCAGTCATCCATGACATCTTCGAATGGAACGAGTCGTCACGATTCGCTTCAAGCAAGTCGTCACAACTTGCTTTCGGCACAGAGTCAGGACAGTAACGGAATCCAAAGGCCGAGCAGTGCCCAGCCTCGCCATAGTTCCTACATCCAGCGGACTCAGACGCTTCGTCATAGGCCCAGTCATGACGCTTATCAGCAGTTGCGCCTCCAGAATTCTAACCCTCCGGACATGTCAAGTGTCTACGGAGTGGCGGCAAACGACCCCTGGAGCAATCCCAACATTGACTACAGGGGAGTTCAGGGGCAGATGGTGCCTGACAGCGCATACCTGCCCTACGTCCCCCGACAGACAGGCCATCACAGGAAGCGCAGCATGAGCATGCAGACTTCGCATGGTCCTAATCCGCCTTATCGGATCCTTCACAGCTACAACTCACCAGCTTACCGCAACGCCCCCATCTGGGGCTAATGTTTTTTCAACATTCCTTCTATCTCTTTGTGTCATCTTTCATCATCTCATCATATCTCTTCGATCTTATCATTGATACCACATCATGCATACTTGGGCGTTCATGGAATCTAACTCGCCAACCCACTTATTCACTGCTTTTCAGAGCATCAACATCTTTTCCTTATCCTTTATTATCTCTTCTCGTGGCTGGCTACAAACACTACGACATTTTGTCTAGCAGTCTCTTGTTCTTTTTCGGTTCTGGCTTGGGGATCTGGCATCATCATCACATTTATCATATTGGATAATCATCTTGAATACTATCCATCGCCATCGCTGGCGAGGAATTTATACATGTGCTACTCGTACATAAGGTACGTTTACACATAACTATCAATACTATTATACCCAGGGGAAACAGGGAACGAGGGGAATAGGAGAGGGGGGAAAGGAAGGAATCAAGGGGATCACGACCGAGGGGCAAAAGGTCGCTGGAAGGATTGCTTGGGTTTGGGAGGAATTGCTGGGAAGACTTTCAGGATAGCTGTTCCCACCTATTATGAGGGGGATGCAATATATGTGATTTACCTTGGGGTAACTTTACATACGTCCTTGCTATGCAATTTCTCTGTGCTGATGTGATGTAGGATGCGAGGTAATGCTAAGCGGACGTGAAGTTGATGGGCATTTGTAGCACGAGTGCGCTCACCTATCTGCTGGGGCTTTATGAAGCCCTGCATTGGACCTGCATTCAACAACCAATCATCAGCCCGATTAGCTCAGCTGGTTAGAGCGTCGTACTAATATCTTGTCTTCGAGATATCAAGTCCATGCGAAGGTCAACAGTTCAATCCTGTTATTGGGCATTTCTTTTTCTTTTTGCCACATCTTTTCATTTTTGTTTCTAGTCGTTTTTATCTCTGTAGTTGCTGTTGTCATTTTGGTTGTAGATGGTGAAATGGTGAGGTGGTGAAATGTCCGAAATGGGTAAATAATCTCATGATGCCTCTGTGATCCGAGAGGCGCCGCCTACCCTATGTCGGCAACAACGGGATGAATAACTTCGCGTAATCAACCAACGAAGATTTAAAATACTTAGGCCCTGATCAGCAAACTGCACGCCCGGCGAGTGCAGACGTAAAAGAATACTTGAGAGGTGTGGAGTCGGGTGGGGCGGAGAGGAAGTATCGTCGTCTGCACGCGGTGTCTGCACGCGGTGTCTGCACGAGCTCTTACGAGGGTGGTCTGGGGACTATTGTTGGAAACACCAAAAAACCGTCAATAAGGGTTGGCGTGTAGACGAAACTCAGATTGCTATTGGTGCTTGGCTTGGAGGTGGATAGGGTGGATCAATCGGTACATTGTGTCTTGGCGAATGCGCGTGCAGAGACGACAATTCCAAGCTTAGCCAAGGCGCTAGAAGAAAAAAGGCACGGGCGTCGACGAAAGAAGGAAAGCGACTTTGGTAAAAGAAGAGGTTATCCATTTGCAACTCGTTGAAAACCCTCTGCACGAGCCGGGCGTGCAGTTTGCCGATCAGGGCCTTAACAACATCACTTCACTTCGCAACTCAGCGTCATCTTTTCAACTGATCCTGATGTTTCTTTCTCGAAGGAAAGAAAAGTAGAACAACATCGACAACACTGGTAGGTAGAAACCGTATCGCGCTGCAAAAAGAAAAGTGACGTCATCGGTTATGCGCAACACCCACCACTTGCACTGATTAACACAGTTCATGTGAGCGGTTGAACATCTGAAGATCACTGTCGGAGATAGAACGTCAATCAATCAATCAGTGTATCAGTGTATCAGTCCGTCAGTCGGTAACTCGACAAGTCCGACAAGACCTATCAACCAGTACCGTACCGGTGTGTTAACAGCACCCACCAGTAACTTTCCAACTCGATTCACCACTAATAGTGATCACTGATCAGGCCTGATACCTAGTTCTAGTGATCTACCAAACCGAAACCACCAGATCAGATCAGATCGGTTCCCGGTTCTCCGTGATCTTATACACAAGCCAACAACAAACTTTGAAGTTTCCGGGGGAAAAAAAATGACGTCCCTCTCCCTTTCCAAGAAAGAAGCAGAATCCCAAGTCCGCTCCTGGGGATTCTCCCACGTTTTTACGTGGACTGATGGTGGTGGTGCTCGTATGTCTTTTTCTTTTTCTCCTCCCTTTCCTCCCCTCCCTTTTTCCCTTCCCCTTTTACCCCCTTTCTTTCCCTCCTTCACCTTTCCCCCTTTCCCCTTCATACACTTCAACTTATCACGTACTAACTAACAACCATACCGAAGACTACGCCCCTCACAAACACTCCTCCCTAACAACGCACCTCATTCTCTCCGGCTCTTTGACTATCGCCTACCCGGGCTCAGAAAAGGAGAAGACGACGCATGGACCTGGGGAGAGACTGGATGTGGACGCCGGGCAGGTACATGAGGTTTGGATTGGAGGGGAGGGGTGTACTTATGTTATTGGGGAGTGATTACAGTGGGGACTGGAGTGATGAGTGGGTGAGTGATGGGTAGGTAAGTGGATGGTGTGAAGAATGAGTAAAGGAGAGGAGAGTAGTGATAATTGTATGAGAGAATGGAGATGAGATGCTTTCTCTGAACTCACATTTGATAACATAACATACACCATACCAACCGGAACAAGGTGATACCGCTAACCTCACATCAGATATTCTTGCACGGATGGTGAACATGACCAGGTTGCGTTAAATCAATATCACTTTTATCTTAACCAAATCCTACCTATCCATATATCCGATTATGTCGTCCCATACTCCCTTCGATGCGCCGCCTGCAATCCTTTCGATGAGGGCTAGCATCCAGTAACCAAAATACGACGAAACATCCAGCACTATCGCAGTACCCAAGACCATTTCCCATCAGTTATCCTAACTGACCCCGACGCCGCCGTTCCTGACCTTATCTCCATCCACCTCATCCTCAACTCCCACGAACCCCATCGCGCCCACCGTCAACCCGTTTGCTTCCTCCTCCATCAGCTGCCCTCTCTATCCTCCTATCCTCTTCATTTACCCCAGCTACTCCCGCCTTACTTCCCCGTCCATGTCCTCCCGCTTCACCATCCCCATCCTCTCTCCTCTCCCTATCCTTACTCGCCGCCCCACTCCGTCCCTCGTCTCTGTCCCTGTCTCTGTCCCTGTCCTTGACCTCTTCTTCTCCATCCTCCTCATCATCCTCATGACCTTCGTCATCATCAGCACTACTCCCCGCCCTACTTCCTCCTCTCGTACTTCCCCTGCCAAGATCCCTCAGCAAAGTCCCCAGACTTTCGACCAGTGGAGGCAGTGGTTCGCTTTCGCTGTGTGAGAGCGAGGGGAAGTTTTCGCAGAAGATGGAGCAGGCTGTTTGGAGGGGTAAGGTTGGGTTTGCAAAGAGGGATTCCACTATCGGATGAGAAGAGGGAGTAGCGTTGCTGTTGGAGAGACCGGATGAATGAGATGGTGGCTGTGGTGAAATGGTGAGTGCCGGAATTCCATGACCTGTTCGTAGGAACGTACGTATCTCGCGACTCTCTTCACCGTCGAGGATCGCGAAGGGAACGTCCGGTGGTTGTTGTGGATGTGGTTGTTGGTACTGATGAGGCGGTGGTGGGGGTTGTTGTGAAGGTAGTGTCTGCGAATGTGGGTGTTGTTGTTGATGAGGCATCTGCATCTGATACCCATGACCGGACGGCAGCGGAACCGTGACAGAGGACCTCCTCGAATCCTCCATTCCACCGCCGGTGAACGGCTGCTGCCCATGATGACTCACCCCAAAGCCTCCGCTAACCCCAGGACCACCACCACCCATCTCATGCTCTCCACTACCCCCAAACTGCGGCGGCAAGCCCGGCGATCCTGGATTTGGACCACCCAGCAGTCCATAAACCCACAACGTCAAACTAGCAAAATACACAGCCATAGCATTAAACCCCCTCAGTCCCGTCGGAGGCAGTCCCCTCGCTACTCTGAATACTTGTCCAGCATGCCAAACGGCATATCTGGCATCTGTGCTCCTCACCCATCCTCCACCTCCTGCTCCGTTTCCTTCTCTCCCAGTGCCTGGATCATGGTCTTGGTGCAAAAAGTGGGCAGACGCCCTCCTCGCTTCTTCCTCGCCTGCCTTCCCCGCAAAGGACTGGAGCTGGTTGAGATCCACGTGCAAAGCCACCATGAACATCTCAAACGTTATCGGCAAATTGGAGTTTGCGATCGATACCGGCGAGGGGACGTTAGGGCCAGGAGAGGTGGCATTAGACCCTCCCGGCGCCGGAAACGGGACTGGATACCGTCTATGCGAGACTGGAGTGTACGGCTGGCTCTTGTGCACGTAAACGACGGTGGTAGCAAAGTCCTGCGCGTCGCTGTAAAGTTCCCGATGCATGGACTTGAGTAACTCCCGATGGTTCGAGAAATTACGCTGAGAGTAATGTCCGTAGTTGCCTGACATGCTCGTGACGGTGGAGGGCTCTTGGTAGAACCTCATTCCATAGCGGTAAGCGGAGATCTGGCCCCAGAAGGCGTGGAGAACGGCGGTATTGACGAGCTCGATGTCAACAAAGTCGACGAAGTCGTCGAGCAGGCCGGGACAGTGTATGATTTCGTTGAGACGTGGCATGGGCCGGTCGGGAGGCGGTGGACGTTTGATAAAGTGCAGGTCACGCCAGGCTTTGGCGGAGGGGGCTTTCCAGAGGTCGCGTGAGGAGGGGAGACTAAAGCAGAGTTCGGTGAAGGAGAGGAGGGGTGTGGTCTGAAGGGTGACAGAAGTTTGCACATCATGAAGGAACATATGCAGGGCAAGTCTGTACCGTTAGCGGGCGTTTTCCTGTAGGATGACCGTTCAACATACCTCTTGTAAGACTCTCTATTGATAAACACCCGCCATTTCCTCTCCAACACCTCTGGCGAGTCCGAAGCTTGAGGAAGAACTGTTGGTAAGTCTGCCTGTGTATAGACGGCAGCGGTATAAACGCCAGCACGGCGCATCATCTGTCCGTTCCTTGGTCAATATCGAATCCCTGGTGGAAAGGAGTGGCAACCTACAATCAACAGAGGCTGCAAAAACGCCTCCGCCAATTCCGTTTTCCTCTTAAACCCGCTCCACATGCCAATAGCAAGGTGCAACGCAAAAGTCTGAAGACATTCCAGCTTCCGAGTATTCGCATTTTGCGATTCGAACTATTTGTGTCCCATCGTCAGTCAAATTTTACCCTACCCCCAAATGGAAGAAAACTCACCAAACTAGCCATCCTCGTCCTTATAATCTCCTGCATCGACAACCCAAACTGCCAAATGGCCGGGACCGCAATAAAGCTCGCCCCATTCGCCACGATCGCACCCAGCAGTTCGGGCAACATCTCGGCCGGGTTCAGCGAAGGCGAGTGTATCCAGCTATCGCACTGGTATTCATCATGCACCAGGTGGGCCTGCAGCAGGAAATTGAGCAACTCCAACGACGGGAACGACGGCACACGGTGGGGATCGTTTATTTGCGACAACACTATCGCGAAGAGCCGGTCCCGGGTGGTTGAGTCGATCTTGATCTTGCTCATCAGGTTTGATGGCCGGCTGGGGAGTCGGGACTGAGCGACAGCTGCCACGGCGTCATTGTCGAGATTTCGGAGCCCCGCTTCCGTCTCTTTGCGCACGTAGTCTTGTTTATCGGAGGGCTCCCAGAGCCAGGGGGACCGCTTGAAGGCGGCGTGGCGTCGGGCTGAGTCGCGGTGGCTCGCCTTCCTGTGGGCTGTCGGCTTGGAGGACGTGGTTGCGGTGCCGGCGGTGGATTGCGGGCTCTGGCTGTAGGAATCGACTTGGGGCACGGAGAAGCCGTCGAAGTTAATGTCCCAGGAGGTGAAGTCGATGTCCTGGAACCAGGGGTTTGTGGGGTTAGAGTGAATCGGGTAGAGGAGATCCTCGGGGAGGCCGTTCATCATGGGCCCCGCGATCAGGTCGAGGTGATTGAGTGGCTCGACCCCCTGATGTGGATGGTGATGCGCAGGGGGATACGGGTGGTGTTGCTGGTGTTGTTGAGGATGATGTTGAGGATGGCCATAGGAAGTCGACTGCTTAGCAGGGGGCATGCCGTAACCACCGTTGAAGCCACCAGAAGTCGACGACATGGTCCCGTCGACAGGAGTCATGGAGGCCGAGGCGACATTTGGGGTGCCATGTTCGGAGGGCGTGAAGACAGAACCGGCATCGGTGCCATCTGCCGTCCGGTATTGCGGTGTCTTCTTGTTGGAGGTCTCGCAGACGAGGTTCTTGAGCCGACAGCGGGTGCAAGGTTTCATATCATCGCATTTCGCTTTGGACGTGGCGCAGTTGAGGCATGCTTCAGCGGCACGGTCGCTCCGGCGGATTATGGTCCGTCCTTTACCATCGTTGTCCCTGTCGTGTGTTGTCTCGTGGCGCGTGAGTAGATCTCTGGTATGGGATGAAAGTTAGTGACCGTATACATCAGACCAATGGGGAGTGGAGCATTGGGCAAACAAAGGATGGGCGTTCCATCCGATCCGGAGGTGGGACCGGAGCGGAGGCGGAGCAAGACAGGGCAAGACAAGACAAGACGATACGTACGCGCGATTGAAGCGCTTTGCACAGCGGGTGCACTGGTACTGGCGGGCATTCTCATGGGAGCGCAGGTGACGGGTGAGGTGGTCGGCGCGCTCATAGACGCGTTTGCAGACGTGACAGACGTGGTTGGAAGTCGAGGCCGAGGCCGAAGGTGGAGCCGACTCGGTCTTTGGCCGTTTGGCTCGAGGCGGGCCCGGTGTTTGCTGCTGGTGGCCGTGGAGAGTAGCGTCAGGGAGAGGAAACGTCGGAGGTGGATGTGGGTTGGCGCTGGCGGTAGAGGTCGAGGTAGTGTTGTTGTTGGTGTTGGTAGTGCCTCCGCCAGCGGAAGCCGCACCAGTGCCATTCCCAGTCGCATTCCCGGTGCCGGACGAGTTTGGAGACTGGCGATAGTCGAGCGAGGACAACAGCAGATCGGAGCCCGCGGCGTCACACAATATGTCGATGCCGTTCTGCTCCGTCATGGTCATGGTTGCTTGAGGCCGAGGGTTGCGCTGAGACCTGACAGGCGAGAATTGCAATGCAAAGACGCTGGTCAACAGTCCAACATCCCTGGTCGTCCACGCTGTCAATGTGTGTCAATGTGTGCCAATGGCTGCAAATGGCTGCCAATGCGTGTGTTGCTGTCCGGAAAGTGGAAGTTGTGGTGGAGGCCAAGAGCTAGCCGAAGGAACCAGTGGGGCCGGCCCAGTGGAGGATAGGCCCCTGTCGGCTGTCTTGGCTCTTGCTCTGAGCCCAGCCCTGTTGCCCAGCCCTGTGCCCTTTCCCAGCGGGGCCTTCAGGGGCCTGGGCTGTCTGGGCTTCTCCCCATTTTCCCCGGATCTGCCCGCCGAGGTGGCCATCAAGGTTCCATTCCCCACCTCCACCATCCCTTTGCGTGGACCCTTCATTTTTATCATGTCATCATCTTCACTCATCTACAAATAATCAAGCATTATTTTTTGAGCGATAGCGAATTTGATACCAAGCCCGTGCTATATGGCCCTTTTCGCTGTTCGATGATATACATTCCAGGTTACGAAAAGACTAATACCGTTCACTGTCTTGGTGCTCCGTAGAGAACGGTCACTCTTGGTGAACGGGTTGCTGAACAAGGTGCCGGCATGATTCCCTCTCTATTGTCCATGAAATCCCAATTTTCTGCTCGTCGTTAGCTCCATCTTCATGCCAGAGTCTCGAAAGTTACCTAACTGCTCCTCTGGGTGGTCTCATCCGATTTCGGCATGTGATGCCATATCTCTCCAAGCTACTTTCTTTAGTACACGGTAGAAGGTAGCACCCAATACGAGGCCCTCGCCTGTTGTGTCTCGCATCTACCACCTTGCCCATTCTAGAGCCCTCTAGAGTTAAGCTTCTTCCTTCAGTGGTGTAGTGTAGTGCCGTCTGTCGTCATACTTGTATGCTTATCTCGGCTCAGTAGTGTTAAGTTCGTCCCATGGCTCCATGGGTTACATCCATCATCCATCCAAGCAGCGCCCGCTCGTGGCCACCCTTTCAGTTACAGGGGCTTTCCCTGGTTCTCAGCGACGGGATCGACCGAATGCACCACTGGATGCCCCTGTGGGCCTAAAGGTACCTAGCCCGATGTCATCATGGAACTGAAAGGGTGTCCGAAGAGGTGGAGACTGGGGAACTCGGGGATTGCAAGTTGGGCTCTCTAAACTACTGTGTAGAGTAGGGTTTTGTTTACTTTCCCCCTTTTTCGGTTCTCTTGGTCTTATTCTTCTGGATCGGATGAAACCCAAGTTGTTCTCTGGAGAAGGAGAATTGCTTGTAGTTCCCAGTGAGGTGAGGTCATGATGCACTTCGCCATTGTTCTATAGTATCTTCCTTTTTGTTCCGTCATGTCTTGCTTGTTATGTGTTTTGATTCTTTTCAAGCCGCCTCATCTTGCCCAACCATCTACGGACCTCCAGTACGACAGAAGAACCACCGTTGAGGGTCATGGGCTGATTTCTCCATGTTTTCCATCTATCTGGGAAGCACTCGGATATGAAAGGATCTACACCGGTCGCTGTGTGGTTTCGGCCCTGTTTTTGGTGTTTGGTTGTCTCTTGTGGTTGTGGTTGTGGTTGTGGTTGTGTGTCTGTGTGTCTGTGTGTTGGTGTGCCGTCGTGTTGGTGGTTATGTTAGGCTGGTGTGCCGTGCCGTGCCGCGTCATGTTGGGGGATTGGTGGTTGGTGAACCGTGTCTCTCTCTCTCTCTCTGTGGGTGTGTGTGTGTCTGTGTTCAGTAATATTCTTCAAGTTTCCTTTTTGAAGATCCTATAGACTGCCGATTTGGGTGTTGTTGCCCAAATTCATCATGAGCTTGTAACCTCGCATCGATGGCGTTGTTTTTGTTGTCTGCCTGGAATTTAATTTAGATATATGGATGTATGTGCTGTGTAGGGAAACACATTGTATTTGCTGGATCGGTTGGTATATCGTGAGTAGCCTGTGTCTCGCCTCATCCTTACTGATGGGTCCTGTTGTGTTATTGTGTTATCGTGCCACGAACAGCCTCCTCTTTTTTCATATTTCCTTTCTCGTTGTCGGAAGTTGGACCCAAGTGTTTGCACATCCGTGATGTTGTACCTGTCATCCTCACGGTCCATTCAGTGTAAGCTGATATGAACTGGAGGAGAAACTGGCAGTGTCACCTCGGAGATGTGAAGAGATGAGTTGACGTGCGCCACTCAATCCATGATAATGGCATATCAGTTCCGTCAGTCCTATTTCCTGTTACACCGTGTTCTTCAACAGGAACTGTCGAGGTTCGGGAATGGTGTTTCAAGCTTCCATGTTAGTCCTCACTTCTGAATTGCCAGCAGTCCTGGCCCAATAGGAACCCTTCCGGTACACTCATGCAGTGGTTGAGCGAGTGTCATGGTTTCTCCATAGGTGTACTACTCTTGTGTGCGCGTGAGCGACATGTAGTGTTTATTATCTCTTATTCCCAATCTAGTTCCCAACTCATCCTTTCGGATATTCCATCGCCCCTTTTGTATAGTTCCCTCCCTTGATGTCTATCATTCTGTGCCGGATTTCCACCTGATTGGCCCTCCCTTTAAGCCATGCCCGTAACACCGTGACCCCGAGGATGGAAAACGAAAATCAAGCAACCCGAAAAGGCAAGGGTATCAAAAGGTCTCCCCCAAGTCTAGCATACTTCCCAACTCCGACCCGTTGTCGTCCTTTTTTATCCATTCCGAAAACCATGGCGTGAGGAAAAGAAAAGCCCCGTATTAAGTCCTCCGCGGTAGTTCTGTTGAAATGATGGATCTCGGCATTCGGCTTAGAGGCACTCATGCCTGCAGACGGGGCAGGCACGGCCTCGGATCACCCATGTCTCAGTGCCCTTCTTGAGACACTCTGGGCAACGAACACCGGGGAGCTGTGAAAGCATGACTGTTAGTCACTGTATTTACCACATGGTAGTGTTGCACTGCATATCAACCGCACCAACCGGACCGCCACCCTCTTGTATGTAAGATACAAGTAACGGAAACGTGGGGTGGTGGCCCAGGTGGGTAAGGGTATCAGTGAACTGTCTTGGTACTCACATTGGCAAAGTCAACCAAGGCTCCCTGTCCCTGACGGTTGACCAGTTCCTGCTGCTCGGGCTTGTTCATGTTGTAGTGGCAAGCGTGGGCGGGGGCTGAGTGGCACATGTTTGTAGTGTTTGTAGGTTTCGAAGTGAGGTTATGGGGTTGTAAGATGTGAAGTGATGAAGTGTTGAGGTGTTCAAGGTCGTGAAAGCGTATAGGCTTGAGTGTGCTTGTAGATCGCTCGAGTGGTCGATGTCCGATGTTGATGATGCTGAGGAGGAGGACAAGAGCAAGCAGAGGGCAGGTCTATATATGCATTCCTGGCTGATGTAGCATGAAGCCGGACTCTTTCTCCCGGAGCCGGCGACGAGGCGGGATTGCGTTGGCGACGGGAAGGATAAAGGAAGCTAGGATGAACCGTGATCGTTCTCGAAATCTTTGGACGGGAGGCGGCTGGCGGTAAGGGAACGGAGATGAGGAACCAAGGCCATATACTGGTGAGGCTCGTCATGGACACGAGGGACGATAGGGAGCCGTCGTCTGATGGACGGCGTCTTTCCGACGGCGAGACAGAGGCTCGACGGTTTTATGCATTAGAACTGGCGTACAAAAGACAGCACACAGGTGGGAAAGTCGAACGGCCGGACCGGGATCTCTCTCCGGGAAACGGCAACGACATGTCTCCGACAAACGATTTCCATGGGGGGCCGGTACTGGCCACCAGCCCACAAGCTGGAAGTGGTGACAAGATGGGAGACAGACCCGCCGGGCGAAAAGCACTCGTTTGGTCGTTGGTGAAATCACAGCTTTGTGTAGATGCTGGCCTGCCATTGGGCAACAGCAGCTGAGGTAGGACAAGGTTCTCCGAGGTCTCCATATCGCGTATGTCTTGCTCCATCGTTCAAACAGTCGAGTGAAGCAACTCGCAAACCCATGAACCATGGCCAGGCAAGGACCAGGTGTGATTTGGTTCCTGGGCAGCTTTCAACGGTTGCAGCAACTGACAGCGCACATAATAGCTTGGTAGTGTGCCATCTATGTTGTGTAGCGCACTGCAAGGCGAGGCTAGTCTGGTTTAACTCTGAGACAAGTGCCGTTTGCGCAGGGCTCGCCGTCTTCCGGGGAGTCGCAGGAAAGTGAAAAGTCCAGGGCATGTTTCTCTCCGACATTGAAGCCTGATCATGCAGCTTGTGGCTTGCTGCAGCGGTCCTTTGACTCTTGTAGTAACTTGTACACTGGCACAGCGCTAGATAGCGCATCGTTCGAGCGGTGGTAAGTGGTGGTAGCATCACCCACTCTCGGTCCGTCATCTAACTAGAGTAAGTGTTGTACTGTGCTCGTAGTAGCTTGGAGTTCCACTCATCCCTTTTGTTTTTCTTTGAGAGATTGGTTTGCAACAACGGGACCACGGGGCAAGGGATGTGAATTGTGACCAGTCAGTAAAATCAGTTGGGACGGTAATGACAAAAGTCCAAAGTTTGACCAAGTAGAATAATCTGATGAGAAAAAAAAGATGGAGATTTGCTTGGCAGAAAAGAGCCCCACAACCACAACCACCAAGAAAAAAGAAGTCGTGACGGGACAGTGACAATATCGCTCCTTCCCTTCTTCCACCTCCGCCAACAAGAACAGATGATGGCGGCAAGAACCTGGAATTACCCAAGAAAAATCTGCCCGAATTAGTGCTACGTGTCCGGTGACCGCCATCTTCTCCCATCCACCCCCGCCCGTCTTTTTCCGTCTACTCTTTCCCAAGAATTGTAGGCCAAAGTGCCAACCGACCGACGTCAAGTCGACAATTGAGCCTCCAACGACACCATTATCCACATTCCCGACTTACCGCCCGTCGTTGTTCGTTGCCCGAGAGTCAATACGATATGGCTCATGGAGGCTGTCCGGCTTCCCCCTTCTTCCGTTTACACTGTCAATGGCCTAAGATCACAATGACCCCATGCGCGTCTGGGTTCAATTCCCGAGCAGACGGTTAACGTCCAACGCCATGGTCGATGGTGATTCGTCCGTCACCATGAACCTCTGCACATCACCCATCAGACATCAAACCACCCAGCCAACAGAAAAAGTTTTTTTGCCAGGATCCCCGAGGTAAAAAAATACTGGCCAACAGGACAAGAGAAGACCATCGTCTGCCCTCCTGGTCATGCCCTCGTTCTCACTTCAACCGTTGCCCAAGCGAGACAGAAAATCAGCAGATGAGACCTCTGGTGGAATAAGCCACACCCACTCGGTTCAAGCTAGACATTTACCGAACCCATCGTCTAGTTCCCTTAGCCCAAGACGACTTCGGCCGGCCCATGATCTCCAGTCTGGGGAGCCTCATGCTAGTCAAGTATACGTCGTCAAGTCGTTCTTTTACACATCACCTCAACCCCGCACATCTAACCACCATCTGGCCCCTTGATCTGCTCCTCAACCTGGTTTTCGATGTCGTGTCGACTCAACTACCGACTCACTCAAGGGGCCCACGAGCCCACTGATATCATATCCATGAACATCACTGCTGGCCTCTTCTCCACAACTCGAGCTGCGATTACCATATGCTATCTCGATATCATCCTTGATCCAAATCCTTCGTTGGCGTTTGTCAATTCACCATCGGGGGTTGTTATGCCAGCTGTCACCGTCTATACACTCGCGATTCGAGTATCCTGCAACCGCGTACCTGCAGCCCAACAGATTTCAGAGAAACACATCGATTGATATCTTTTTGGGCACCTCGGGCTACCCTTTTTCGGCCCTCCTAAAACCGGCAAGGGGCTTTCGCTTGACATGATGCTCTCAAGACTCCCGGTGGACCGAACAACAGCGAGACCAACAACGGGGAACGTCAAGCCCCTTGTCGGCTTTAACATCGGTTACACTAGCGCTCCTACATCATCGTCTTCGCCGTGCTCCCGTGACATCAACCATCATCCAGGAACGCTCTTCTGAAACCAGTAACAGCCATTGATAGCCTGACAGGCTGCCGACGAGTTCGAAGATCAGTCGGGGTACAATTGAAGCTGTACCGCATCGGGCAAGCTCTGGCGAGAGAGAAGGGCTTAACTCATATGCCCCACCCAAATCTCAACGTGATGACGATGAGACGCTTCCCGAATGCCATCGCGGTGATGAGATATCTGGCATGGCGACAACCGTGGACCAATGCTAGACTTCATGTTGAGAGGACTCCCAGCAATGGCAGAGCGTGCGATATCGCTGACTACCCAAACTTGCACACATACATCACACAACGTTGCTGACTCTTCAAAAGATATCCCATCCTCTTTCTTACCCTATGCTTCACGAAAGAGCTTGAAATCGGTTTCGATTCAACACCGGGATCTTGCGTTTGCTATACAGATTGAATCTCTCCTCTCCGTTACAACGTTCGGGACGCCTCCAATCTGCCGCCCACCTCGTCCCGACATGTTTGCACCAAATAATCGCACACTGTGTACATGCAAGAACAACGGTAGGAAGGCTTGTTCACTGTGTCAGACAAATGATCTGATAATGGTGCCCCATCTTCAAGACCCCTGCCCGTCGTTGAGAGTCTCGATATCTCTACGCGAGCATGAACAGATTGCCTAGACTGCCATTGAATATTTACTCACCAGCAGGTGAGATCTAGGGGTCCCTGAGCTATCTTGAAGCTCCCCCAACCCTCGGTCGTTGGTACTTTCGGGCAGCCGTGCCCTTTCAGAGCCCTCTGACATAGTTTACAACCAAATCCGAGGAAAGTCTCTCCTACACGGCGCAAACATGGAGCAGAGGAGAAATATCCCAGCCTCTGTGTTGCACGGAAACATCTGCCAACGGGAAATTCGTGGCCTGCGGTTGTGGTTACGGAAGGATGCATCTTTCTCCTATCCTTCCTTCCCCTTCCCTTCCGTCCTGGAACCAGACTGTCGGGAACGAATTAACTCGCAGTCCTTCGCCGTCTGTTCCATCATTCCATGGGCTTTTCGCTTTCTTCCCTTCACGTGGCTGTAAGTACGGTAAGTACGCAAACCGGCCTGCCCGATCTGCCCGTCTTGGCCCGGCGGCACTCCGTTTTCCGTTTCCCCCGTCACCTAACCTCGCTCGCTCCGTGTCACTCCGATATTGGCCAAACGTCGGGTGCCGTCTCCGATATGAAGGCCGGAAGGGAAGGGAAGAGATATGACGGGTCCCGAAGATTTCTGACAAGCAACACAAGCAGCGGAGAATTTTTGACACCTTGGAAAGGGTCGTGTTATCTTTTCGGCCTTGACAGAAAGCTGACAGTAAGATGACATGATGCTTCCCCTTCCCGAGCTTTATATTCCCCATGATAATAAGTAGTTGGCAAGAATCATGGTGTACCTAAGTTGAGCAAAGAACCTACCTACTTCGTACCCAATGACTTCCATCATCCTGAACGGGGACCTCTACCACAATTGACAATGAAGATGGGGGGAAAAAAAAAAAAAAAAAACAATCCCAATGAATGAGTGGATCTTGCAAGATAACAAGTCTGACAAACTCGGCATGTCATCACAACAGTAGAACACAAAAAAAAATATTAAAAAAATGGCGATAAATACTTCCCATAGTCGCCTGTTCATCTAATCATGTTCGATAACCTGCCTCAGAAAGACAAAAAGAACAAAAGGCTTCAAAAACATACCAAACATGTCTATACACACATGCACACACATATGCACACACACATGCACACACACATATACGGACATAATCAAAGGACAAAAAAAAAGCAGGGAGGAAAGGGGATCCAACAAAAAAAAGTAGCAGATGAAGAACTCCATCAGGGAAAAAAACAGAGAGGAAGAAAAAAAAAAAGTAAAAGAAATGCGCCAGCCGCGAATCGAACGCGGGGCCCATCGATGGCAACGATGGATTTTACCACTAAACCACTGGCGCTTTTTGTTGTTGTTGAATGTTGTGCGTGAAAACTCTGCTTATGAGGGTGGGAACAGTCAGGGGTTGTGAGGTCAGGATGGCCTGGTCGTTGGTGGATCACGGTTGCTTTCGGCACAACCTCAACTCCTCGGTCAAGATCCAACAGCGAACACAATTTGTAGGGGAGTGTACACTATGATTCAAGAAATGCGGGACTTTTATTGGTTGCCAAGAGAAGTTAGCTCGGGATGGTCGCGTATTTGTTGCTATATCTTACTGTCATTGGGATGGGGAACGAGAAAGACGAGATAAGTACATCAAAATGCACGGGAGGGAAACTGTGTAGTAGTAAGCAATTGGCTTTGTTCATTGCTGGCTCATTTCATCACCAGTCGCTCCACAGTCTTCCAAATTTGAGGACTGACTGCTAGCTGCCAAGGGTATCCTTTAAAAGAGTAAACACGTCCCATCCAAGAACTTCAGAAAAATTCCGTATCCTATCCTCCACATTGTCTTGCCTTCCCCAGTCAGAAATAGATCGCTCTGTACCTGACTGGCATCCCATTTTCCACCCAAAAGTAATCAAAACGAATGCATTACCCATTCAATTCCACCCAAAACAATCTTTGCTTTGCTTTGCGCATCTCTTCTTCTTCTTTGTCCTTCTACCATGCAGTCGTAAAGAAACCTGCTACCTTAAACGCTATGCTGAAATGTCTTATACGCCAATGTGGGAACCAAGAAGAACGCCATATTAAAACAAGAATATCGAAAAAAACGGGTAAAGATTTTAATGAATGAAAACCGGCTGTCGTCGTCATGTGGTCATAGGTCACTTTGACCCGACGGTAGTCTCGGTATGTGTCCGGTTTGTCGGGAAGCTGTTATCGAACATTCTTCTCAACCTTGATGAAGAGCTGCGATGCGGAATGTCCGCCGTGTCGGCGGAGTGGCCGACGGGTAAGGGGATGATAAAGGTCGAGGCATCTATATCCCTGCTGCAAGCGGTCGAGACGGATGCAAGCCCAAGCGAGAAGCTCGTTGCCGAAGCCGCTTGAGGAGGGCTCTTCAACTTTGAATCTAGAGGAGACACGCTTAGGTTAGCACCAGGTTCGTGAGCCAAAGTAAGGCGAGTTGAATGAAGATAATGAGTGGATGAGAAGGGGGCAAAGGTGAGGGCGCGTGTCGAATTAAGTTTGAAGAGGGAGCAAAGAGAGGGAAGTGAAAGTGAGTGGACGAAGCCGGCCGACCGGAAGGAAGCCGATGTCGGTATGCGAGACTCCCGTGTCGCACAAACAAACTCATTCGGGGGAAAGATGGCACAGTTGCGGAGGTCACTCTGTATCTCTCGCTCTCGGACAGAGACTTCTTCCATTCCCTAAAACCCGACACATTGCTCGAGAGTTTGCTACCCGGACAACTTTGTCTGGAGCATCCCGCCTATCATCGTCTCCCTGATATGGAAAACCACAGAACATAAAACATGTTGGAGAACGGGAAATGCTCTTGTAAGAAGTTTGCCCACGGTAGCGGCTCCGTGCATCAAAGTCATCACGTCAAAAGAAGACAACAACCAGTCACTCCTGGCTGACAGGTAGGCAGTAAGAATCAACCGACCAGTAGTCCTGGTCTGATGACACGTCGAGTGAAGATGGGCAGAGGTTTAAATAACGAAGGGGAGAGACACCGGAGGAAGTGAGGACATCAAACTTACCTGACAAAGCTGAGCTCTTCCACAACCCCACCCACGCCCAGGAACTCGAGCGGATATGGATTACGCTCCCAGTCTGGATTCTCGGTCGCTTGTGGTTGGGTTGTTCGCGTCAAGTCAAGCGATTTGTTTGGCTTTTCGACGTGCAACTCCACCTTCACTCGGGTGCGCAGCTTCTTAGCCTGCCCACCCTCAGGTACGGGGATCGACTGTCCTGCTAGGACAGTGATTCGGAGGTCGACAGTCCTTTTCGGTATCTCGTCGTGATTTGTTAGGAAACCGGTGGGCTTGAGAATCCAGCCATTCGTGTCCGCAAACATCGCATCGTTGAGCATCGTGCCTTCGTCGGTCTTTTGCCAGTTCATAGCCACCATCTGCACACCTCGTCGCCACGGAATAGTAGGGTCGGGGTTGCTGCTGTCGAAGCGAAGGCCTTTGGGGTAAAGGCGCATAAAGTATTGCCTATTGTGGTCCATAATCTTCTTCAACTTGGCCTTATCCTGTGATATCATATCCAGAAACTTGTCCTCGTTCACGCTGAAGATATGGCTGGGGGTTGTTGAGGATAAGGATTTGAGATCGTCAAAATGCTCACTGCACGTGTAAATAGCTAGGGCAGCAAGCATTTCGCAAATTGGTGGTTTGGAGCGCAGGGAGCTGACATTTAGAGATCGCCCACGCTGAGCTTCCTGAATCTCGCCGTTGCAATCATCCAGCCGCTTCACCTTGATCAGAATCTTGTCGAGCAGTTGTTCCAGTCGAGGTTGTTGTTTTAGGTGATCGCAGTCTTCGAAAGGCTCTTCGAGAAGCAAGCCGGCCCATTCCTCCTTCATGATCTCCACCATCATCTCTTGTTGCTCACGGTCCGCACCAACCTCCAGACTGACAATGATCGGTAGATGATTCGTTACGAACGCCTCTTCCCTAACAGCCTTGCAAACCTCCCTAAAAGGCACCGTGGTTGTCATAGTTCCATGGTGGTGCACGATGGGTTCAACCCTCTTGATGGACCCGGATGATGATGTGGATTGATACAAACGGTCGCTCAGTTCCTTTGGGTCCAGACTCGTACCACTGTCTCGGGGAGTGCGCATTGTGTAAAGACCTGGCTGATCAACGCTCAGGCTTGAGCCATGTCGGACACTCGTTCGTGACATGGCGGAGACGTTTGATATATGTCGGCGATGTTCCCCATGCGGAGACTTGGATGGGGTTGGTGACGGGACACCATTCCACACGTCGATTTCGATGCATCTGCATCCGTTTCGTAACACCTATGAGGCCTGTTAGACATTGTTGATAGCGACGAGGAGCTGTGCATACATACGGCTTTGTATGCCTCTGCGGAACTCTTGGATGACAGTTGGTTTCCTTCCAAGTAAGTGTTGTGACTGCTGCTGATGAAATAATTGCTAATCGGATAGGTGAGGTCGATTTCGGTAGGATCCAAGGGTCGTACAGCATTCCACGCTGCCTTGTTGTTGCTCCAAGCCCAGAAGAATTCCTCGAAGGTATACACGTCCTTATCTGGAAGATCCGTGGTTATGACACCTTGGGTTCTCTTGAAAAAGCGAAGGAATTTCTCATGCGTGAGTACCTTGTCGCCTCCGCAAGCTTCTTTCCAAACCCTCACGGCGTGTTTCTTAAACGCATCGTGGATGTACATGGGTTTCTGGGTAGCGTTGAAGACTTGTGCCGACGATACCAGAGAAGCCATGAACAAGGCGGAGGTCGGCTGACTGGGAGAAGCAATTTTCATGGTCGTCATCCTCCGCATAAACGACGGCTTCTCCTTCTTCTTCTTGTCCTTGCGACGGAACTAGAGGCAGTTAGTCAACCATCGTTCATGTCACGGCGCCTGTTCAATGGAGACCTACTGATATGCACGACATGGTGAGGAAATAGGTCGTAGCCTTTAGATTGTCCAATTGCTCTCTTGTTTTCCTCCTCCGTCCGCTTTATGCCTCTCCCTCGGCGATGGGAAAGCCTCAGGGGTCCCGGTTCGATGGGTTTAGGTCTGGGTCCTCTTTTGAGGATGCGGCTTGGCCGCCCGGCCCAGTGGGTGGTTGGGGATTTTAGTGGACGCGTCGAAGATCTCCAGGCACCAGAATTAAAAGGTTCGATACTGTTAGGGTGCTGGGTCCACCACGGTTGGTACCGATCGCGGACAGGGGACGTGAAGTTATTTCGGGATGTCGTGCGGGTAACGATGGCTGGATATCGGCAAAACGAAGAAGGAGTAGAAACTCCAGAAAAGAAGAGAAGTAGAAATGGAGGGCAGATGTCAGCAGTTAAGAAACAAAAAGGATGCTCAGCTTACTGCGTAACAGAGCCTTGCCCCGCGCGCAACGGTCGAGAGCCAATGGATCTCCGAGCAGTGCCAGCGTCCCTGCCAGCGTCCTTGCCAACCGTGGCTCTCGTCGGTTGGTGGCCCAGCGTGGTGGTTAATGGTTCGGCTCTGGGCCAAGGAACGTCCAGTGAGCTTCCGGTGAGCATGCAATGCATGGCGCATGCAATGGCTGCAATCGCCTGGGTGAGACAGGGAGGGAACCCCAGTCACACTGCCCATGATTCCCAAGCTAAGCTTCCCTCGGTGTTGACGCTACCGCTTTTTTTCAGTCGATGTGGTTTTGCTCAAACAGGTATAGGGCCGGGACCATCTGGCAGAAGCAAAGCCTAACAAGGGGTTCAACCAATCTGTTACTGAGTTGATGCGGGTCACAGTCGATCGTACGCTTGCCAACGTGGTCAGTTGGTTCCTCGGAACAGTTCAGTAACAGACATTGGTGTGATTGTCGGTATGACCTGCATCCCCGTGTTAGGCTTTGCTAGTCCGGACCTTAGCGCAGGTTGAGTAAAACCACATCGACTGAAAAAAAGCGGTAGGCCATCTGGAGATGCAGACCAGATAGGGTGTCATCCAAGCCGGGGGTTGTGAGGCTGGAGTGCCGTTGACGTTGTTCGCCATGTTCGAGTCCCGAGTTTCTGTTTGCTTGGGCGAATTCGACATTCCATTGCTTCGTTGTGCTCTGCCAGATGGAAAGTCAATTGACGTTGCCCAGGACAGCAAAGCGTTGGCTGATTTTGTGGTTGGGCATCATGGTGTTCAGCTCGGAGCAGTGAGGTGGTGAAGATGGCGATGATGCCCAGGTGGAAAATTTGGAGTTTAGTGCTCCTTCTGCTGGCTTCTGCTGGCAGTGCTCATCTGGTGTCTGCTGCTCGTCGACACTCGGGCAACCACGTTTGTGGCGGGAGGAAGGCGCGATGTTGCACAACTGCCCTCTGCATCTCCCCCACAGTCTGACCTTGCCCCCTTCCCGTCTCGCCCATTGCTCTTGACAGTCTCATCTCGCAATGTTTTGGTTTTGATGGCAAGAGCAGTGCCCGAGTGCGTCACTTGGCGTCTTATTGGTACCTGATCTCCTGATGCTATGCAGTACACCGAGCTGAGAGAAACCAAAGCCAACCCAAAACACCATTCATCTCAAACTCCAACACCAACCGACAACTCTAATTCACTGGCCAAGGACCAATGTTGATGCAAAGAAGAATGAAGCATCAAAGGCGCGCCCCTGTGTGCCGCTCCGGCCGCTGTGGGGAGTCTCGGGCAGTCTCACTCCCCTAAACCCACAGACAACCCTGTGATCCCCACTGAGAACCCCAAACAATCCCTAATTAATACCCCCAAGAACCCTGACCAACCACGACGCTGACCTGCCCAAGAGGTTGTACTCGATTGCCTTACAATAGAAACAGATCACTGTCAATGGTCAAAACCCGCTCAATGCCGGCGATCACTACCGTTACAGATTGGCGACGACAACACGAGAGGTTCTAGCCCTTTTGCGGTAGCGACTCGCCCTGAGTGATCACTCTCATCACAGGCCCAGGGATTGTGAGAATACAGCGGCTCGCCTACTCTGAGTTGGTGGACGAATTATCCACAATGAACCCTTGGCGATACAACTCGCGACTATGTAAACACCAAACAACATGCCGGGTTTCTCACCTTGTGTTTCATTCGAAGATATTAATAATGGTGTCACGGATTTGTCCCCGGAGACTGTCCCCGGGATAGAGTTTAATGCTGACCCCGGACCGGTGACATATTTCCCTTCTGGGCCCTTTCTCCAAAGAGCTCCAAGACCAGCACCATGTTGGAGTCGAACCAAAACGGCATGGTATCGATTTATTGATCGAAACATTTCAGAGATTTGTTTCAATGCTTCTTTTCAATTTGCTCGTCTCAAGTTCAATGGCGGTTGGGCGACGTGGGACAGTTGTTCGTTCACAGGCTGCATTGCACAGCCCCCATGCGTCCTTCGACATTGATGAGGCACAGCAACATCGGCTACACGATAAAGCGTTGGACTCAATTGAGTTCGACCATGGTTCTCGGTTGGAGAACAGCAGTCGAAGTTCAAGAGAATGAGGTGCGGGAGATATTACAACGTCATAGGTAACTTGTCTGTCAGGCACAGCCCTCTCCATCTTGGGGTGACGGCGGAAGATCTGTCCATACTCCGCAAAAGTCAATTGCTGCTTGTGGTTGGATTCAATGGCATATCTTGCCAGAACAGTTTGACCACACAAGTCCTGATCATGAGGAGTGTTGAGGTGAAGCTCGAGTCCTACCTGTATCATCATGTCCTATGCTTCACATACCCAAACCCGAACCCCCCCTTCGCTCCCTGAAGCTCAGCCACGCAAAAGGGACCGCCCCTGGATGCTCAAAGCCTTTGGACAAGCACGCCCCATTTTGTTCGACGTGTCAAATATGCTGCAAGAATTCGAAACTAGACCTCAAGTCCTCAACCAATATCAAGATGACGAGCCAATACTATGAAGTTGAGGCTTCAAGGTTAGGGAATGGTTTCTCGTCGTCGTCGGTACTCCCGCTTCGAAGCCCCCTATCGCAGTGCCGGCCCGCATGAAGAACGGCCGGCAGCTGCCACAGGCACAGACCACGAGACAGCCGCCAATCAACTGGCTCCACACAGAATAACCGCAGCTTACATAAGCCACTGCGAAGATTTAACGACACACAAAACTTTTCCTGCAGAAAGTTTCGACTTGTCAATTTCTCTTCTACCAGTCAGCCCAACAACGACGACAACGACAACGTACGATCAACAACGACCTCCAATCCTGATCGAAAGTTCAGAATCGGTGGCCAATGCTGCATCGCACGGAGCAAGCCTGAGCTGTATTGCGATGGACTTTTTGGGGGAAGGATCACAATTGACGCCGTCATGAAGTTAACTGTTTCTCTCGGTCGTCTTTTGTCCTCTCCCGGAACGCTTCTTTCACAACAGCAACGGCAAGCTCAGTCGCTCGACGGGACGGGTACGCAATGCAATGAGGTGGCAATGGGTGGTGATAGCTCACTTGCCCTCATTGCATCTGACCAGAAATCACAAGGTACGTTTTCATTACTCCTGTTCTCCAGCACATAACATACACACTCCCCCATATATCCTGTGATGAGAGTAATTTGCGATTGATGCTGCTATGGTGGGACCCTTTCGCCGGGTGTCCTATACCTGGTAGTATGTGATAGTATATTCTTACATATTCTGAGTTTATATCCCATAACGTTGTCATGTTATCGAGCAAGCAAGTTGGTGATTTTGTTGCTAACTTTCAAGAAGTGTTCCAGATGTTACTTTAGTCTTGGCTAGGCTTGTGGTGGATGGTGTGGTTGGTTGGGATGTCCGCTGGTTGGGTGGGGGTTGCTTAGGATAGAGAATACAAAAAATTATTGCAAATACTTGTCGTTCCAGTTCTGAACAATTGTTGTGGTTGTGACCGTGATGCATGATTTAAAGGTCTCCGCTGAAGCTTTGCGCCGATGTCAACTGTCATGATCGCATGGAGTCTCGTCCTGGTGAGCACACGACACATGAAGCTTCAGGCCGATGCGTATCACGTCCAAAGCGGACATCTTCCCCGAACACCTCACTGCTCATATCCTTTGTTGAATTTATCGAAATTCAGTCGAAGCTTCTTTTCCCAAGGTGTCTGGCATATGGCAGCATTCCGTGTCTTTTGAAGCCCTTGTCTTCCCAAGAGTGTTGATGAATACATCGAAGTTGGTCTGAAGATGTCAACTGTCAGCCCCGTTAGGCTTTGCGAATATGCGTATACAAGCTGACCTACGGCGGCCCCTTTCAACAACATCGGACCATATCAGTTCAATCGGGTATGGTGTAGCGGTAACATCGTTGACTCTCACTTCTCAGGAGTGACTGCTCTCTCAACAGCCCCGGGTTCGACTCCCGGTATCCGAGTCTCAATATCTTTTTTTGCAAATTTTCCCTTTAGCTTTGCCGTAGTCCTCATCTTTTCCTTCCCCTTTCTTCTTTTGTTTTTGTTGACCTTCGCGCCTTTTCTCTTACTTTTTGCGTTCTGCCTGTTTCCATCCTCGCTTCACATTTGCTCGGTCTCCATCCTTCCTGGCTTCCACCTGTCAGTGTCTTACTTACACCGGGAACCAAATTCCATGAGATAACGTGATTTGAATCGATCTCCAGGGGCAACCACCTTTCCAGCCCCTAGCCAGCCTGCTTTGTTTCTGGAGATACCCTCATTAAACACCAAAACCCACCCAGACCCTTTCCACCCACTTCCCTCCTCACCTACCTCTACCAACACACAAATCCGTCCTAATAATCCACTTCTCCCCCGCCGTCACCTCCCTGCCCTCATGCAACATACAGTCATTCCCATGCTTATGCAGCAACAGCATACCCGTCTCCGGGGCCACGGCAATCGCTTCCCTCGCCACCTGTCGGTCGTGGGGGTAGAAGACGGTCTCGCCGCCCAAGCACCCTTCGCTGGCGGAGGTGAGGTATAGCAGCAGAGTCCAGGTCGTTTTGGCGGGGGCTTGTCTGTTCGGGTTCGACGGGTTATCGTCGGAGGAGGGGAGGGTGAGTGTGATTTTGTTTGAGTCGTCGTCTGAGAAGGGTGTTGGTGTGGGTTTATAAAAGTGGACAGGGGAGAGGAGGGAAGAAGAATGGGGAGGAGGACTGAGGGAAACATACAATGCGCATCAAAAAACTGCCCCTTCGTGTACCGGTATATCCTGATATTTGGGTTCAGGCCGATGACTTCGCCACCCCTATTTGTTTCAGTCAGCAAGTTTCCTCACCCATCTTTCCTCAATTCGAGAAAAAGAAAACTCACCACAAATGCTCCAACCCACCCCCAACAACCGCCTCTTTCAACCCCGTCTCATACCACAACCTATCCGCAAACTTCTGATCCTCAATCTGGAACCGATCGTTGACTCGCACCGCCATCCCCCGCTTGGGTTTCCCGGGCGTGGTTATGAGCGGGAGCGTGCTGAGAAAGGAGACGTAATCGCGGCATAAGGATTTGGGGAAGAAGTTCCGGAGGACAACGACTTTGTCGTCGACGAGCGTGTCGAAGGTTAGGTCGATGATGGGGAGGGAGGGCTTGAAGGGGGGCCAGGAGGGCGGGGCGGCGCTGGTGGGTGGTGCTGCTGATGGTGTGGAAGTTTGGGATGGTTTGCCGTTGGTTGCTGGGGCTTTCTTTGGTTTTGGCATTTTGAGGTTTGGATTCTCGATGGGCGTTCCTCTGGGATAGGGGAGTCGATTTGATGGGATCAGTTCGGTCGCTATTCGGACGTGGCGTGTGGCGCTTCAGGTATGGTTGAGAACATGAAGTGAAGGTCGGGCAGTTTGGTTATTCGTGAGCTCGATGCCAGCTTGCAGTGGCTAGATTTGAAAACAATTTCAGGTTCACAGTGAATAAATTAAGCCCTTCAAGGTGCTTCGTGGTGGTGATGGCGGATTGGTGTTGTTGATGAGCAAGGCCCAGACTTCCCCACATTTTGGCATTGCCGTTCAGGTGCCCCACCATGCTTCACTGAGCGGGCGGGATCAGCCCAAGCTGAACCTCCACGAGCTGAAGTTGAGATGGAGATCATGATTTCGCAACCAATTCATGTCTGAAAACACTTGAAAGATAGTCCAAGCTTTCAAATCGTGTTTCTATCTCTTCCTCGAGGTCTGCACCGGAAGTACTGTACGAAGAAGGAAGAACACTCCGAAGGGTTAGGGTCGTAGCACGTTCAAGCGGAGATAAACCACCACCTGGTCCAAGCTCCAGTGCATGCAAATCTGGGGCAGGCAGGCAGCGCAGCACGGCAACGGAAACAACTTCCATCAAAAGCATTGCAGACTGCAGGAACGACCGGGAACAGTGGACAGGCTTTTCATTCTATCCCGTCTCGGCTCAGTCACTTGCACGCAATCACTTCATCAGCCGTCATCCACCCTCAATTCCACTTTCGCTCCAAGAAATATCAGTGTCAATCCGTTCGCTGCTTCCACATCCCACGGCTTCTGTTCCATCTCACTCTTCATTCAAGTTCACCACCGAGACCTCTTGGCAGACACACTCATCTCAACATGCCGATTATCTCCAACCTCATCAGCAAACTGGTATGGGCCGACGGTCAGCCTCCGAAAACCCCACAACAACAACCGACCACCCCGGCCCCCGCCGCACCGGTAGCAACAACAACAACACAAACACCTACCCCAGCTTCTGCCAATGCCTCACCTTCACCCTCATCAGACGCGGTACGCTACCCACCCGCACAGCAGTGGGAGGAACGTCCTTACCCGCCCGTCTTCTCGGAGCGCTCCATGAAGCAGCTCGGCCTCTTCTTCGGCGGCGCCACCTTCTTCGCCCTCTCCGTCGCCGTCTCCCGGCGCGCCGTGGCCCGGCACCTCAAGGCCTCCAAGATGGAGATCTTCGCGCCCAACATGGCCTCGGGCATGGCGCGACCTGGCAACATCAATGCAAAGGCCCCCCGAGACCCCATGGTCGCGGTCGAGGCGCTCAACCTGGCCACGCTCAACGTCGTCAGCTTCGCCACCATGGCCGCCGGAGGCACCTGCTGGGCGTTTGACCTGTTGTCGGTGGAGGACCTCAGGAGAAAGGCGCGCAGGACGCTGTATGGCGGCACCGAGGCGAACCTGGATGAGGAGGCGGAGAAGGAGGTTGCTGAGTGGGTGGCCAAGACGTTGGGGATTGATTTGGAGAAGGCGGAGGAGGAGGCCAAGGGGAAGATGTTTGAGGAGGCTGTTAAGAAGCCGTGAATTGGTGGTCTCTGCAGCAGCAGCAGCAAAGGAAGTTAACACAACTTAATGATACCCGACTCTTCTTTCTTTTTTTCCTCTTTCTTTTCCTCTGTCTGCACACAACGGGTTATCTTTCGGCTTGAGACAGGATACAGCAACTGCTACGGTGAACGGGGAACGGTGGCCATCCTTGAGAGACAGTTCACTACTCGTACTCGTTTGTTTGCCTATGGATCTTCGGAGCTGTTTCCGCGGGTGAGAAACATAGCCAATGGGGCATTGCCAGCTTTTCTCCCTTTGTAATCCTTCCTGCCTGTCAACCTGTCTGTTGTCTGTCTGTCAAGTCAAAGAAAAAGAGTGCCAGAGGAGGTCAACAAGAAACAAGAAACACGAAGCCCTTTCTTTGGCTTTTCAGGGCTTTGTACGCCAGAACTCCAAATCTCATGATATCGACAAGACAAGGAAAAAAGAAGTGCCGTGTAATTAGCCCAGACAACCCTGGGTGCTTCATGCATGAATTCTCAATCAGGAAAACGAAACACCCGCAGCATGTTCGCCGCCAGTCCAGTGCACCAAAATTTTGTTGAACAACGACGAACGCAGCGAACGAAACGAACGAACAACGACTTGGAGCCCTCGAACTCGTGTCTCACATTTTGCGGTGAGTGTGTCAAAGTGTCGTCCTCCTCTTTCTTCCCGCCTTTTTTTAATTCCCACCTTTGTTCCCCTCCGTTTGATATCCTGCTGCCCGCCACATGGCTCGCATAGCTTCCCAGCTTCCCAGCTTCCCTTCAGGCACCGCCGCCCTCCCGTCGTCTGACCGTTTGTCTTGCAACACACACACACACCCTTCCCATCCCTACATAGGAATTGATTGATTGGGCTGTGAACCTGCAGCAAGGGTCAACCGTTTGAGGTGGCTTTCTTTTCTGTCCTGCCGGGAGTGTAACCGCGCTGCCCGCCCGCCACTCGCGCCGCAACCGCGTTTACTACACAACAATCATGTTATGGCATTGGGACATGGAATGGATATGGCATGTGCATATGCCCCGACCCCAACTTTTGCCCGAGAATCTCTTTAAGAATTTTTTTCCCATTTTAGGATCAAATGCTTAATGGTAATTTGTGATTACGGATCATGACAGATAGCCAGACGCCTACGGACGCCCCTCCCGACGCAGCTACGCAACCTGGCACTGAGTTGGCTGTACTGTTCCCTGGATCACCAGATCGACAAACGGTGTGTGTGTGACGACGCTTTGACTGATGTTGCTCTGAGCGCCGATGGTCTCTCAAGTCTGATGGTCTCTGTCTGTTTACTTATATCTCGTTGTTCGTTTCTTGATGATGCTACCGCTATTTCATGACCACTTTGATCTTTAAAGATCTTCGTTATATCCTTCCTTCTGATCAATATCAATATCCTTGACCATCACTTCCCCCCTATCCGCTGTCAACAGCCCCTCCTCCAAACCCTCCACTTACATTCCCCTATCCACCCCAACTATCCTCAACATTACTCAACCACCCCCTAGTTCCATCGCAAAATGTCAACAACAATCCCAACCTACCGCTACCAATACCGCCAACCCTCTTCTTCTTCCCACCCCTCCAGCTTCAGTTTATCCCCTCCCAGAAACACCCTCCCCCACCACTACCTCGAATCCCCCACCAACATCTTCCTCTCTCCCTCCAACCCGCTATCAGAACTACCAGAGATAATCATAATCCGCCAAGTCGGCGGACCAGGCGATAACCACGTCCAATGGGTATCCAAATCGGACATCATTCCTTTTCCGGATCCGGACGATGAAAGCAGCAATGGCGGCGGTAGAAGGAAGCAGCACATGAAAACCTATGTTTCTCAAGTCCACGGCATCGTGCACACAGCAAACTGGGCCAACGACGTGGGGGACCGACTCTGGTTGAGGAGTGACCAACCCATAATTAAGGGGAGGAGGAGTGTGCCGGTGGTGAATTTGGATAAGGGTGTTAGTGGGGAGGTTTGGTACGTTTTTGCCCCTGCCGCCCCCCCCCCCCCCCCCCCCCCCCCCCCCTTCTTCCCTTTTCTCATTCCTCGTTTCCGTTTTTGGGGTATGTTGGTTCTGGTTATTATTTGGTTGGGAAAGTTGGAGAGAAAGAGAAAGAGAAATGGGACTGACAAACAAACAAGTAGCATCAACTCGGTAAACTGGTTAGTCGATAAAAGAGAGATCAGCACCGGCGCAACCATCACCATCATCGGGGCTGAATACCGCCATGTACAGGGGCAACGACGCGGTGGCGGCGGTGGGCCGTTTAGGATGTGCGTAACGCAGGAAGGGAATGGTGAGGGGATCATTGAGATAATCTCTCTGGAAGAGCTAGAGACTTGTTTCGAGGATGTCAAGCCACCACCATCAGTACATGACCACTCTCACTATCATGTCCCACCACCCACGGAGCTCCAAATACTAGGCGACAGCAACCACATCTCGAGGCAGTTACGAGGCGCTGCCACCATATTCGGGGAAACCAACAGCCGAATTATGGACGACGACGGCGATGACGATAACCTCAGCCAAGTCTCCTTCGCGAGCTCAACCAAGGGAAAAGTGGCGATAGATCTGGTAGCGCGGAGTCTATCGATCTTCAACTTCAACGCTGCCATGTTGGACTTGGCTGCGCTGTCTAATCAGAGCATGGGTGGCTTTATCAGGGACATTGATGAACAACCAGAGGCGTCGGATGATAGCGATGAAGAGGACGGGGACGAGGAAGAGGAGAGGGTATGGAGTGATTGTGAATCTCATTGCTCTAGAAGGCAGTCGGCGATGGATGACGAGGGTGAGGATGAGAGGAGTCGAGCAGAAGATAGTGCGAGTAGGAGTGGTGCTGATGTACGAAGCCTATGAAGCACTACTGAAACCCTAAACTCAACGATAGACCTAGAATTGCTTCATCAAGCACGATAAAAGCGCTATCAAGCAATAAGCACTGAACACCAATGTGGTACCGATGACATCAACGAGATTAAAGTGCCGCCATCTGTGCAAGCCGCAGTGAAAGCGGATCCTAATCCACCTCCAGATCAACCTCCTCAACCTCTTCATCGCTTTCCTCGTTATCTTCCTCCTTCTTCATCCCCCCATCTAAGCCCTTAATCAGCCCCTTGTTGACGGGACCAGCACCGCAGGTACCACCAACGTAACCGCCACCACCACCACCACCACCACCACCACCTGTAGCCGGAGCAGCAACAGCAGGAGAAGGTGAAATAAACGGATCATCAATAGCAGAAGCCGTAACGGTACCAGTGAGCGGACTCTCGAACTGCGAAACCCCAACCACATTCGGGATCGCAATCGTGTCAAGAGGATGGATCGTGTCAAGAGGATGGATCGTGTCAAGAGGAAGAGTTGGAATCCTGTGGCCCATTCTCATCACCTGCTCGACCAAAATAGGAGGTTTTCCCTTGACAGGAACACCGCTTCCAGAGGCCGTGGCAGATCCAGCGCCAGCCGCCCTAGGGGGAGAAGCAGAGTGAATATCCAGTAGGAGATCCCTGTTCTCCAAAGTTGTTTCCTTAGCCATAGGCTGAGGCTCAAGCGAGGAAGACGAAGCACTGAGGTGACTGGTGTGGTTGGAGTGACCACCGCGGATTACCGTCTCCCCATCCATGGGCGGAGGAGTATAGGTGGTGGCAACAGGACCGGAGAGACCGATGGCAAGCTCGGCCTTAGTGAGCGTAGGCGTCGGGCCTAGGAGATCAACTTCTGGAGACAGAGGAGTGACGACAGGACTAGCTGGAGGGGATTCGAAAGTGAGAAGGTCCTCCTCAGCGACCGGGCTAAGGTTGGGGGCGGACTTTGTCGAGTTAGACCCAGGAGTAGATTCCTCGCTGGAGCTGTTTCTGTCTCGGGCGTTATCCCTCTCATCACCATCCTCGTCGTCATGACTGAAAAGGTTCAAGATCTGGCCATAGTGAATGACGTTGCCATCGCTTGTGCGTGTATAAGAAAGGGGATCGCCATGCTCATCCATAAAGTCACTGCTACCACTTGCATTGTGCCTGCCTCTGCGCTTCTGGGAAACGAGCTGGACGTCGCTCAAAAGGTCCATATCCTCACTTCCATCGTCAAGTCTCCTTTGCAATATGGCGCCTGTCCTGGCAAGCTCACCGAGCTTGTCCCAAAATAGCCAGGGAAAGCTAACAAGTGGCATGGTCTTTGGTGTTATTTTTCTGGTTCCGAGACTGCCGTCAGGTCTAACGTGTGGCTGCTTGGCTTCAAAAAGTGCAATGCGGACTTCTTCATAAGTGACTCTGTACATGGCCGACACGAAGGAAAGGAGATCACCGCCAGCCTCTTTCTTGCACGCATCCTTGAAATGTTGTTTGAGGGCAGAAGACTCGCGACCGACGTTGTCTTGGAGTTTGTAGTCTGAGCCCACGCGGGGCTTGGACATGACGAAGGCCGTCCAGACTTCGAACTCGGTCGCAATCTCGAGCTGGCACATCACGCGGCGCATAGCGGTGTCGTACTGAGATTTGATGCGACGGGCTTTGGTCAGCGTCTCATCCCTAAGAGCGCGGCACTTTGTATGCTTGAGAATGCGGTTATCGAACGGCAGCTCGTAGTTCTCTTTCATGTCGAATGTTTCCCGTTTGACCATATCGTAGAGCTTTCCGAGAGCTGTTGCGGAGTGATAAGTGTTTCTGTTTTTCTCCATGAAATGAGGCCAGGTCTTGGGGTCCAGCCGTCTTGGAAACTCGGCAGCAACACCAGTCTTCACGTAGTCAACAGCCATGGAGTGAAGGGTAGCGAGCTCAAGACCTGTCAGATTCCATGGTCAGCGGTCACTCTTGCAAATACTCTATACAGGACACTTACATTTGGGACTCTTTACTCCCTCCATCTCCGCATCTGCTGTCGCCAGATGGGCATGAGCGATCAACGGCAAATTGTTGTACTTCATGTACAACACAAAGAAGGTAATCAAATTGTTGACGGTCGGTTCGGTCGCCAACTCCTTGCCCATAACAGGCTCATTGATCATCGGTGGATGGGAGCGTTCCTTCGGGATAAGCAGAGGGTCCCAAATAACAAAGAAGTCATCACCATCAAGGTCTCCGCCAGAGCACATGCTGGGCACGTCTCTGTCCCCAGTCAAGGGGAACACCACCACGTCCCTAAGATGCCGCAAAGCAGGAACATCAACTGCCTCCACGACTCGGATATCACCAGGGTGGAGGGATGGATTTCTTCCAACGACGCAGGTTCCAGTAATGACTTTGTAGCCACCATTGATATCATCGGGAATCTGTAGGAAGATTTGTGGAAGCTTCTCGTTGGGCACGTCTTTCCAGTCTTCGATGACCTTCATATGCCCTTTCAGGGTGCCAGTCTCATCAACACAGCCGAGCACGAACGCACTCTTTTCGACATTGAGTCGCGCTTTCTCCTTCAACGTCTTGATCGACCATGATCGCCACAGCTGAAGTAGAGTGCGAACAAAAGGCTCCTGGGACTCCATGAAACCGTACGCAAGCATTTCTGCAATGATGGGCGTCATATGGTTTTCGTCAATGAACGTCCTTAGAATTGATGTCGCCTTTTGTTTGTCCTCCATCGCCGCGTTGAAGTCAGAAAGTTGCCGTTCCATCATGTCTGCGAAGACTTGATCGGGAACACCAAGAGCCGAGAGAACTGCAATGATCTGTCGGTTCAGGGTGGCAGTTGAGAACTGCGAACATCTGATGACCTCAAGGCCATTGAATTCGGCCACAAACTTCTCTTGCGACTTCCGAATATGAACCTCCATACCCTTCACATCGGGCCAGGTTACCAAGACTCCCTTGCAACCTCCCATGCGGAACTGGTAGGCGGACGGCGGCGGATCAATGCTCCAGTCATGCGCTACGATTTTCGCAAGCAGGGGGGAGATCTTGCCTACTCCATCTGTGAAGCAAAACCCGTCCTTTTCTACGTCAGGAATGGTGACGATCCTCGGTGCCGGAATGCCAGGCACCAAACGTGTAGTCGAGAAGCACTGCCCAAGTCTGGCCGCATACTTGGCAATGACTTTGATGTGACTAAAGCGGCCCATCCAGGCTCGCATCATGTCGCATGTCAAGTCGCTCTGCTCACAGAACATGAAGGCTCCGGCTTCTCGAATCTGAGAGTTGCCAAAGGCAAGGAACTTCCAATGCCATGGGCCCATGGCAACCCCTTCCTCCAACACCCTGTACGCACGCAAGAACAGGGGAAGCTCCGCTTCGCCGCTCCTGATACGGCCCTCAAGAACCTCATCGGTGAATTGGATGCGGATAAAGTAGTCCTGTGCATATTTCCACTGACGGATGACGCGGTTCGTGGGCTCGACGCAGGGCGTACTGAAGTAGATACGAGTAGGAGTGATAGTAACCCTACGAACCCAAGCGCAATGGTTGGGTATCATGAAACTGGTTGGAAAATAAGTCAAAGCTGCATTGTCCTTGAAGAGTTCCATCGGGTCGAAGATACGCTTTCCAGCATACTGGTCGGCAGCATATTCGAGGATAAGGCGAGCACGGTCTTTGCCGAAGCTGTTGCCATTATCACAGAACTCCATCAACTTCTCAAGGAATGGTCGGTCAATGTTGTGTTCGTTGATAATCCCTTGAGATATGCAGACTTCAAGCTGGTACCGAACGTCAAACGGTAGGGAGATACGGGGCGGTGCGGCCAAAAGAGAAAAGTCGTTGTTCCATAACTGTGATGGGACATGTTGGATAGAATGACCGTATCGATCATCAAGAAGGTCCCATACCTTTGGCTTTTTGTTGGGAAGCGGCTCGGGAAAGACAGTCAACTTAGTCCTGAGATTCCAATCGAGCAAATGCTGTTGAACTTGGTCCCAGACTCGTGTTGATTGTTGATCCAGCTCAATCCAGTAAGTAAGCCACCGCCCCAGGTCGATGTACTGGTGGTTCTCGGCGAGTGATACTGGATTTCTGCTAACATCCAGTCCAGGGCTGATATCAACCACTCTCTCCCACAGGTCGTTCTCACTCCAAGTCAGCCGATCCTCGCCAAAAGTCTTCGACACATCCTTCTTCCTGTACGCAACGGGCGGATCTCGGAGAGTCATGACCAAAGCTTGACGATGCTCCTCACCAACCATGGTTCTGCATAGCTCCTTGATGACTCCAAACTTGATGTGGAGCTTGTAGTGTTCATTCTGTCTGCGAAACCCACTAGATTCGCGTTGATAATGGAGGGAGAATTTGATCACCAGTCGCATGCGCTTGAAGTCAAACTCAAGTCTCAACAATGAGTCCGACGAAAGGGTTTGAACTGATTGTTTCCTCATGAATACTGCAGGCTGGACTAAGACGCCGAAGGACAATGTTGAAGAAAAGACGTATAGGGTTTGCGGGCAAGTGTTGCCGAGTTGAGTCTTGATGGTGCGTTCCTTGCGATCTTCGCGCTTTGGATCTACTGTCTCGAGAGGCAGCCAGTGATCAACAAGTTCAATTCTGAGTTTGCAGACGCCTCGACAGAGGAAGTCCGTAGAGAGCGGAGGTGGTTCAAAACGAACCAGAGCCCTCCGGCCACGATCAGAAATGTCTGGACGGTCCTCATCAAGTTCAATGTAACTGATGTGACCATACTCAGAGAAGAGATCGTGGAGGACCTGAAGTTTAGCTCCAGGAGGCACATCTTTGACGCGAATGGCAGCGGTCCTGGCACACTTCCACTCCCTGGAAATGAAGACTGGTTGTGAGGGAGGGGCGAAGGATGCATATGGGGCTGGTTTTCCCCGTGAGTACTGCCGAACAGCGCGAGGGGGAGGCCGGGGAGAGCTGGAGGAGGGTCGCGAGGGTGGTCGCGAGGGTGGTCGCGAGGGTGGTCGAGATGTTGATGTGTTACCTCTGTGTCGCTGCTGGCTGGATCTGCGGCGGCTAGCATGTCTCGGACGAGCGTCTTGATCTCTGGGGCTCCTGTCCGGCGACACGAGAATTGCATGCTGCGCCTGCTCTACCCAGTTGGGTATTCCGGACATCTTGGATATCTGTTGTCGCTACAGTTAGCTTTCAGGTATTCGTCAGGATGGGCTCAGACTCGTCTGGTCAGAGGGAAAATGGGGCAGTAGTTACGAGATAAGTGCTTGATGAGGTGCAGGTCACGGTTGAGGGATTGTGCAAGCAGGTACTGACCAGTTCTCTTCTGGGACTCCTTGATTGTGTTTGATGCTGCTTGGCCTTCTAGATATGGAGGGCGTTGAAGATTGTGAATGGGAGAAGAATTGAAGCCAATGGACCAGAAGAGAACTCGTTCAATACTCATATGTCAAAAAATCTACCCCTCTGCGAGGTTGGCGAGAACACGATATGGTATGGTGGGTAACTGCCTGTTGTGCCCGAACTCGGGAAATTCTTGGGATGGAAGGAAGATTTGGCGAAGTCCCGCTGGCTACTAGTGCCTCGAACGGAGGACACCTGTGGCATGGAAGGAACAACCGATAATCAGATGATAATCCGCAAAACCAAATGCTCGGCTTCCGTCAGGTCAGTCTCAACAAGTTTCTGATACTTGTTGGGAAGAACATCGAAAGCGCAGCCAAGGGCGGAGGTGGTACCCCCAGGAAGGGACGAAGGGACAATAGATGACGCAGGCCGCGAACCGGGATTGAACAGATTGAACGTTCTCACTTACAGCTGACGCCACTTGATCTGCTCCTGTATCCAACTGCTCTTCCAACATGTATAACAAATATGAGACTGGTGATATTTGGTATCGGGAAACAGGTGATTGATAGATGCTCCGGGGAGATGATGGCGCCGGGAGTACCAGTGGTAGACAATCGGTTTGTCAACTCCAAGCTCCTGTGTTAAGGTAAGAGCAAAGGGAATGTTCCTACCTCTAGTCAGCCATGCGTCTTGAGCAGTTGCGAAACTCCACTTCGTGCCTTCTCCCCGCCGTCGTTCCTTCCTCGAATTTAATATGCGATAAGAAGGGCGTCGTCACCGCTGCCTGGAGGTGCCATCACTCCCGTCACATCCCACTGCACTTACAGTTTCATCGCAACTTCCTCATTTGGTTGAAAGGAATTCTCTCTTTTGATCGCTGGCGCCTGACATCAGATCAAAAGTACACGATCCGCGAATCCCCTCCATATCACCTCATCAAAAACGAGAAGGGAATGCTGGTTATGCTTTTCTTGATATCATGTGCCCCAGCCGTAAGTGCATTCAATGCCCTTGGGCTTCTGAAACCCAAAATCAACGTAAAAACAAGGCAAAGACGCCACAGCACCCAGTCCAAGGGATTTTCGCTCTCAGAAGATGCACTCACTTCCTTCAATCCTTTAGCCATAACCCTCTCGTCCCCTGGCCATGCTCCTTTCATGGTCACTCCATCGTCGACACTCACTCATATTAATTCGATCAATAACGAGGAACGCCTAAATCCCGTAGGGGATACCAATACTCTCCCTTACAGAAAATTATATAGACCCCATCTCGCATCTCCTTTCCCATCCAGTTACCCTCGACGATCGAAGATTTTGCCTGGGTTCATAATCCACTTCGGATCTAGAGCCAACTTGATCGATTTCTGTACACTCAGTCAGCATGCCACCCAGCACCTTACCCAAACCCCACCGGACTGACAGGACTTACCATAACACCCAGCGTATCCGGCCCAACCTCCCACAACAACGACTCCTTCTTGCCCCAGCCAATCGAGTGCTCACCCGTGCATGTCCCCTCCATCTCCAACGCCCTCTTGACCATATTCTTCACGCACACTTCCACTTTATCCCGCTCCTCCTTCTTCTGCCGGTTGTAAATAATACTCTCATGGAAGTTGCCGTCGCCAATATGGCCCAGGATACTAGCGAAGAGGCCCAAGTCGTCCATCTCCTTTTTGCTAACTTCGATAATGTCCGCTAGCCGACTGAAGGGGACCGCGACATCGGTGCTCCCTGTAACGACCAGTGGTGTTAGTATTGCTGTCTTTGTGTGAACAAACACTGATGATGTTTGTTCCTCTCATTGCCAAGGCATCATCGAACAAGCAAAAGAAAAGAAAACTTACAAACTTCCTCCCCCTCCTTCCTCAAAGCAAGCATACTCCACAGACTCTCCTTCCTCGCCGACCACAACAACTTCTGCTCTCTCGCATCCTTGGCAAACTCAAAGTTGCTCCCCTTATTTGTCTTGGTGATTCTCTGCACCAAATCAATGTTCTCCTGCACGCCCGCTTTCGTCCCCGCAAACTTGAAGAACAGTGTCGGCATCTCCTTCCACACCCGCGGCGCAGTGGCTCCGCCTATGTTGACTACCTTCATCTGCACCTCGTCCATGATCTCCATGGCGGCGACGGGAATGCCCCGTTGCATGACTTCCGCGGCTGCTGACGCTGCGTCGCGGATCGTGGGGAAGGTGACGACTGCAACGGAGAGCTCCTCGGGGACGACGGCTAGCTTGAGAGTCGCTTCTGTTACGAGACCAAGAGTCCCTTCCGAGCCCACAAAGAGACTGTTGAGGTTGTAGCCGGCTGAGGACTTGCGCGGACGCCGGCGGGTCTTGATGACGGAGCCATCGGCGAGGACCACAGTCAGGTTAATGACCCAGTCTTTCATGGTGCCGTACTTGACGGCATTCGTACCGGAGCAGTTGGTGCCGATCATACCACCAATCTTGGCACTCGGGCCTGTGATATTTGTTAGTGTCCTGAACACTCGCGAGTCTTCATGCTTTTGCGGGCACAATACATACCTGGATCAATGGGAAAGAAGAGACCACTCTCCATCTTAGCCAGCTGCTCATTCAGATCCTGCCACCCAATGCTAGGCTGAACGACAATGTCCATATCGGCTTTGTTGAACTGCACGATCTTGTCCATAAAGGCAAAATCGACACTGATTCCCCCGTAAGGCGCAGAAAAGTTTCCTTCCAGACTGGACCCTCCAGAATACGGAATGATTGGTACGCGGTACTTGTGACATATCCGTGCGACTGTCGACACTTGCTCCGTTGACCGGGGGTAGGCTACCGCAACTGGCAATCCCTCCGGGTTGGTCGATGACCACTCCGAATATCCATGAGCGTGGAGGTCATCCGGGTCAGTTGAGATGATGTCCTCGCCCTCAATCTCTCTTCTGATCTCAGCGATAGCCTGGTATTACCAATTTTCGCGTTAGTCCAAGCTTTACCCTCGTGACTTGTGAGTGGAGTGGGATGACAGTGACTTGATTGTGACCAGTCCTGACAATGATCACACTAACGTACCTGCTCCATTTCGTGTAGACTTGCATAGTCCGGCGCAGGATAGATACTATCCATCAACATAGCTCCGGGAAACCCGTTATGCCGAAACTCTGACAGACTCCAGCCAAGGAGACCGGCGGTAGTGGCGATGGCAAAGGCTCCTGATACAGGAGGCCATGTCGAAGCCCATCGTGTCTGGCGTGCTTTACCATTGCTGCTACCACTGCTCTCTCCAGAGATGTTGCTTCGGACGGCCGAAGTGGTGAATCGCTGACGGCAGGCAATGCTCCAAGTGCCCCCACTGGCACCGGGGCCGGCAACAGCCCGGCGGATGGGCCTCGCCGCTCTCATGAGGTTGGTTGTCGACATGCCGGTCAGCGTTGATGATCGGATCGGACACGCTTGGTGGAATAAAAACTGATAGTGTGTACCGTCGTAAGTGAGGCTGATGTGTGGAGCAAGTCTTCAACTTCACAGTTGATGCCCGGTTATATATGTACCGAATACTCTCGTTTTCTCGGGAGGGACGAAATATTCAACGCCGGTCGGCCCGATGAACTCGTCTTGTGATGTTTTGTGAGCCTGATGACTGAATACGACACAAACAACTTTGCTTTCTCGACGGACCTGATATTTCGCTTACCTTATAGAGAGTTAGGTCGGAAGAGTGACGGTTTGACTACGCCGTACTCATCAACTCGTGGCTTGGCTCTCACGCACACTTGCACCCAAGGAGCGTACCCATTCCGAAGACTAGGCCCGGATTGACACAGGCTTTGGAAAAGCGTACCCGAAGTCACACACTCAGCTCACCGAACCACGCACCGTGCCTTTTTTGTAACAAACAAATGACGATCAGTCCGTCTGGGGTAAGGTTAGGTGTCTTAGTCTTTTGACGGTTTGAATCAGCTCTGATGAGGCCTAAACCTAAAGGGTTTTGGTGGGCTATGACCAAGTTGCGTGTGGATGACTTGATGACCAAGTAGTGATGAGTTTGTATAAAATGATTAAACTCTTCAGAAAACGGTATGCATGGAAGGCATACCCAAAAGATGCTGTTAAGCTTCAAGAGCGAATAAGAGCCGCTTCCATATTTGGGATGGATGCAGTAGAGAGATGTCGGGATGGAGTAGCTGACAGGCCCAATGAAAAGAAGAATAATTTCGAGTTGGCTGGGTCGAGCATGGTAAACTGCCATCCGCACTACGGAAAAGGGCCCCAATGTACAGCCAGGTCTGTCAGGATTCTCCAAGGCCGGGGAGGGGGGGGCGACAGGGACAGTACCCGTTGTCACCGGGTGGATCTGACAATTTGCAAAGCAGGGGCAGCACAACAGGATCTGAACGGTGGCGGCACAAGGCAGGGCAGAGAGCTACCTGAGCGGGTGTAAGCGTACTTGGTGTTTTTCGTGACCAGCTCGGTTTGGAGGAATCAAGGGTATTGAGGGGGTTGTGTGATGTAGCGCATCGTGGAACTTGCGCCGAGGACAAAGAAAAGGGTGGCCGTAAACGAACAAGAGAAAAGGGCATAAGAATTGTCTGATAACTTCCATACTAGGAGTGTCCGGAAGGGGCTAGCCTAAGAGATGACCCAGTGCATTTCTAATCGGCCACCGAGTTGTCATCTTACAAAAGCCGAGAGGATTTGGAAGAGGAGTGGAAAGACAGACAGGTCATCCTTGACGCCACAGAAAATCGAGGATCTAGATCTTTGGTACCTCTAGATATGCCTGGTACAAATCTCATCCGGTTGGTAGGGCAGCCTCGGGTTACCTCATTGCCTGGCACTTGCGCAAAGCGTCCTGTCGTAGGAGACTGGGCAACTGGGTATCAAAAGATGGATGGGGGTATTCGTGGGGAAAGGGAAGAAAGACAAATGAGAGAGACAAAGAAGAGTTAGTCCCACATCCTCCCACGCGTAGCTCACATGGCATTGGCGGGGGTAGAGACCGAAGGTCGGCATTGCAGTAGCGTCTGGTGGTGTGCTCAGGCTAGTTGGCGAGCTAGAGGTCACGCCGCGCTTCAGGTACCTGAATTGGTGTCATCAAGTGGAAACTAAAGATGGACTTGGCTCTTGGTGGTGGGGGAGAAGAAGAACGACATCTCGCGGCCGAGTTGCTCGGGATCATGATATGTAGCATCTCTGGAACCCCCCAAAAAGGGTCGCTTGTCGTCGGCTACCTTTTCCCGCTTCGTACAAGCGGTGCCAATCGAGTTCACATAACCCGACCCCATTACCAAAGCTTCCTAACCCAAGTGGATACGCCAAGACCGACCCCACACTGTGAAAAATCTCTCATCCAACCCTCGCCCCCTTAATATTTTCTTTCCCCATAGAGAAATAATCAATCGCTCGTTCGAAGTTCCCTATAGAGAAATAATATTACTCGCATTTTTGAATACTCCTCTTAAATATTAACGATTTTATATTTAAATACAATTATAAACTGACCGCGACCGATATCTCTTCGTTGTATACGAATAGCCCGTAAATTATTTCTAATATATCCTTAAATTATCTTCGCAAAATGGCTAATACTAATATTACTAACGCTGATACTTTAATTATTATTACTAGGTTCGGCTTAATTGAGTAGAATAATATAGTTTTTATCAAATTATTAATAGTATTTAACTTAGAATAAATAGATAGTATAACGGCCGAATTCGATAAATTAGAGGAGTTAAAAAATATGACCCCTCCTAATATATCGATACCAACTGACCTCCTAGTAAGTATAGCTAATATATTATTAATATATTTTAAATATATTTTTTACTAATCAATAATATAATAATATTAATTATATAAAGGTTAAAATTATAAGCCTAATATTTATTTTATTTAATAATATTAATTAATATTCTAATTTCGTTTAAACAATATATTATGTTATAATTATTCTAGAATACCCCGAATCTTCTATTCCTAGCGTAACCTACATTATAAATATTAAGAGTTTAACCGAAGCTTGAATTAAAGCCCCGTAGGATAAAATATATAAAATAGAGTAATTTAAAATAAATTAGTAATATATATAGGATTAATCCCTAATTAATTTACAATATTGTAAATCTAATATTATATAAAGAAAAAAAATACCTACTAAAGATACTTCGTTTAATTATTTAAATAACGCTATATACCGTCGTATTACTTATAGATATTTTGGTATTAAATATTATAAACATTTAGACCCGCGAATTTAGTAAGCGTACTAATAAGGATCTACCGTTATGATCGATAAAAAAATTATATATTTTTCATTTAAAATCCGCTTCCGATAAAATAAGGTCCCTTTAATTAAGCGAATTATTAAGTACGAATTTATCCTTAATTTATCCTTAAATTATCTTTAATATCGCTTTAATTTAATCGAATATAATTATTTTCTGTTAATACTATTTTAATGATTAATTAAATATAAGCAATTAAAACGTATTAAGAGATATAAGGTTATAAAGAATCGAGGTCATTATATAAATTCATTTAATATATAAGTAAAGTAAATTTTTATTTAAAATATATCTCTAATAATTAGTATTATATTTTAAATTTATTTCTATTTAAATAATTACCGGCTATAATCGCTATTAGTTAAAATATTAGAATTCGAAGCCGGGAGAGAAAATATACTTTTTTATTAACTTCCCTAATAATTTTAATTATTATTAATTATACATTAAATTAATTATTAAAAGGCATTCAAGAGATTCTATATTCGATTTATTATATATTAAAATGTATATTAAAACGAGTACTATATTAATAAGAAGGACGCGCTATAATAAATAAATCTTTCTTTAATATATTTAAAACTTATTAAAAATTTATTATCGATAAATTAAAGACCAATTACGCTTCAGGCTATAGTACTATGAAAATTCGAGATTGTAATATTATTATTAACTTTTATATTCTAGTCGATATTAAAACTATCCTATATATCGTTATAATTTCCTATAATTAATATATTTACTTACCCCCCTTTCCTAATAAAACCCTTAAATGGATTATTAATAATTGAATACGGGTATTACAGAGGGTAAGAAATCTTAATATAATTTAGAATAAGTAAATCCGGAATATATTATCGATAGATTAGGGATAAATTAGAGATTAATATATAATTTAACGATTTTAACCCGTAACTCCGATTTTATTTAATTTTTTAAAAAATATAGTACTAATATTATTAATTAAACTTATATAAATTTTAATAATGTTAATAATGTTCAATTAGTAATTAAGAAGTATCGTACTTTTACTAAGTTTTTAGGAGTTTCGAACCTTGAAATTATAATATAAGAGTATTAATTAAAATACTAAAATTTAAATATTCGTATAAGTTTATATATCCGGGATTTATTGGGGATGAATTACTAACTTCTTTTTTTAATAATATATTTAAAAGGTCCTTAACAATGGGATTAATTTTATAATTATTTATTTTTTTAAAGAATAGGTAGAATTCTTTTATAAAGGCTTTATTAAATCTTTCGAATTAGATATAAATTATAAATATTTTTCTGGTATAGAAAATAGGGAGGTTATTTAAGGCTTTTATTTAAAATAATTAAAATAATATAAATTATTAAGTTATTCTAAATTTATCCTTAATAAATTTCTAACTTTGATAATTATCCTTCTTATCCGGATCTTTATTAATACTGATTCGCCGAAAATTTACGCCCTTACTTTTAAAATAGTATTTGAAATCTTTAAAGTCGATTATAGATATATAATTAAATAGCGGGAATTATTTAAAAAAGGTTATCATGATATTATTGTAAATTAAAATTTTAAAGCAATTATAAGTACGTTATTTTATTTTAAGATCCTTCTATAATATATCTTTATTAATGCCTTAATTAATTAATATAGGTTTTTTGGAGTATATTTTTTAAAATAGATCCCTACCTCCGTAAAGTTATATACTTCGTTCGCTATACAGTATAATTTTATTATATTTATTTTAAACCTAATATTAAAAAGTACGTAAGGAATAATCTTTAATTTCGTTAATAAATGGAATGGTTATTTATATATTTAACCGTTAATAAATATATATAATTTTATTACTATTTATAATGTAAGTTAAAGATTACTTATAATTATTTTTAAATTTATTTAAGTTAGATTTTAAATAGAGCCCTAATTAATTATTCTATAGGTAATTTGCGGGAAGAAGTTCGGAATTAGGCTTAAAATAAGAATATTCTAATTATTCGCGCTAAGTATAACTATACTTACTTTAATATAAATTAAGAAATATAGAATATATTTCGATTAAATATTAATACGGTCGAAATATTATATTAGTAGTCTTACTGTTAGAGCGATCGGTTTATATTACTACTTCTTTATATTTACGTGTAAATTATTAATAAAAATCTATTACTAATATATTATAATTAACTTATTAGTAAAAGTATAAAATTCGATCACTATTTTATAGTATACAAATAGATTTAAATAAAATATAGTATTAAATTCAGGTATTGAACTAATTTATTAATAAATTAATTGAACCATAATATAACGAGGGTAAATAGTAAATTAATAATAAGTTAATAATTCATCCGATATATTAATAGCTAATTTAATATAAATAAACGGAAAAGGGATAATATACCTACAACGGAGAAAATAATTAAGAAAGTACTAATCTTCTTCAATTTAATAACCACTCTTCGTCCTTTAATTCTCCTTTTTATTTTTATTTCATAAAATAGAGTAGGATTAATATTTAATAATTCCCCAGTTATATTATTATTTCAAACTTTTAATAATTATTAACCTTTCGTAGAAATTATATTTTTTAGTATTACTATTTTAAAATCAATTTTAAATATATCCCGGACAAATTAGTAAAACGTTTTAAAGAATCTAATATATATATTAAATATTAATTATTTTAGACGCCTACCCTACGGCTATAACTATTGGCTTAAAGGGTAAGAGAAATATAAGCTGAGGAGAGAAATAAAGAGTTAACGTATACTATGAAATTTAAAAATATATTTACGAAGCGAATAGAAGCCGAAACTATAAATATTAGAATAGGAAAACAAATTATTAAAGCCTAAATGAAACTATTTTAATTAATAAATGAGGGTAAATTTTAAGAGCGGGAAATATTTATTTTAATTATTAACGTAATTCATATACTCCTTATAAATAATTTATTTTTACTAGGTAATATATTATATATAATTATAGGTTTACGTAAAAACCTAAAATAAATAATAACGTTTATACGTTTATAGGATTACCCCTATAGAA